TCTCCCTCTCCCTCTCCCTCTCCCTCTCCCTCTCCCTCTCCCCCTTTCCTGGCTATTCACATGACCCTTCCTCCACATGTATTCTGCCTTTACCATTGTCTGCCCTCACTGAGGCTAAACCAGTGGGGCTTACCCAATCTTGAACTTGAACCTCCAAAACTCTACAACAGAAAGAACACCCAAATTGAAACACTGCTGATAAGAAAGGAAACACATCTTAGGAAAGGGAAAATTAGCTGTTGACCAGGACTGACCTAGTGTTTACTCTGTTGCAGCATCATTTGTTATTTTTTTAAGATTTATTTTATTTATTTGAAAGACAGAGTTACAGAGAGAGGTCGAGCCAGAGAGAGAGAGGTCTTCCATCTGCTGGTTCACTCCCCAAATGGTCACAATGGCCAGAGATGAGCTGGTCTGAAGCCAAGAGCCAGGAGCTTCTTCTGGGTCGCCCATGCAGGGAGGAGGAACAAGAGTGGGAGTGCAGATGAGAGGGCGGGTTCGGGTGGGAAGAATCACTATGTTCCTAAAGTTGTATTTATGAAATGCATGAAGTTTGTATACCTTAAATAAAAGGTTTCTGGGGAAAAAAACAAGAGGGAAAATGAAAAACCCTTTCTCAGTACAAAAATCAGAGAAGAAACTATTAAATTTGACATGAATTATGAAGTTTAAAATCTGCTTGATTGATTAATTTTATTATATATATAATTAATATCTCATTGGATATAAAATTGCAAATGTTTAAAAATTACATTAGGGTTAAAATTATTCCATTAACTAATGCACAATGGCAATGAGTATCCTGATGTTTTATTATTTACACACTGGAGCAATTACACTAATAATTAGAAAATCCCTGGTTTCTTCTAGTTATAAAGTGTTCTGATTTTATTTCTACATAACAATTTAATATCAAGGTCTATGTTGCGGCATAGCAGGTTAAGACACCACTTGCGAGGTGGGCATCCATATCAGAATGTAGGTTCAAGTCCCGGCTGCTCCACTTCCAACCCCGCTCCCTGTTAATGTGCCTGGGAAGCCAGAAAATGATGGTTCAAGTACTTGGGCCCTTGCCACCCATGTGAGGGATCCAGATGGAGTTTCTGGCTCCTGGCTTCAGTCTAGCCCAGACTTTGCTGTTGCAGCCATTTGAGGAGCAAACCATCGGATGGAAGTTCTCTCTCTCTCTCTCTCTCTCTCTCTCTCTCTCTCTCTCCGTGTCTCTCTCTCCTCTGTTACCCTACTTTTCAAATAAAAAATGAAAAAAACTTTCTAAAATCACTTGGTATTCATATATTTATGTGGGTTTTTTTTTACATTTTTATTTATTTATTTGAAAGTCAGAGTTACAGAGGGAGCCCGAGAAACAGAGAGAGACCTTCCAACCCCTGGTTCACTCTCCAGATGGCTGCAACTGCCAGGGCTGAGCCAAGCCAAAGCCAGGAGCCAGGAGTCTCATCTGGATCTCCCACGTGGGTGACAGAAGCCCAATTATTTGGATCATTCTCGCTGCTTTTCCCAGGCCATCAGCAGGGAGCTGGATTGGAAGTAGAGCAGCTAGGATACGAACTGGTGCCCATGTGGGATGCCAGCATCCCAGGCAGCAGCTTTACTCCATACACCACAACTGTGGCCCCCTATTTACATATATTTAATTGATATTTTGTAACTTGCCACACTTCTTCCAAATTGGCATTTAGTGGTGACTCTTGAATTATTATTTTGGTTATTTAAGAAGCTAGGCCCAGAGATCAATCCTCTTACTTGTAGTTCAGTACTCTGTTCACATGACTTCCATCAGTTCAGTCTATCATGGTTGTTAATTTCAGTTAGAAACAGATCCTCAGAAATATGTTTTAATCTAAAATTTGTTCCGTTCCTCCCCTTTGCATTTTAGGTTGAATCAACTGTTTGGCAAGATAATTAAGATATTTAGGGGTTCATTTTGCCAACCTTAAGCTTACAGAAAAGTAGAAGTGAAGATTATCTGGCATTATCCCTCAGGATGTCCCAATTATAGCTGCCACAGATATAAGATAAGGTATAAGGACCTTAAATTTAATTGAAGGAAATGACAAAATGAGAACTGCCCTAAAAAAGTTCCACTCAATTCAGCTGTCAGTTCGGCCTATTTAAGTATGAGGGTACTTCAGGAATTTGTGGGGGGAAATAGGATTAAAAGATGGGTTTGCACGTGGGAGACCCAGAGGAAACTCCTGGCCATTGCAGCCATTTGGGGAACCAGTGGATGGGATGGAAGACCTCTCTCTATGCCTCTCTCTCTCTCTCTCTCTCTCTCTGCCTCTACCTCTTTCTAACTTTGCCTTTCAAATAAATAAATCTTTAATAAAAAAAAAAAGATGGGTTTGTTTCAGTACAGAAAAATTTGGGGACTCATGCATTTTTCCATAATACAATTTTCCATGAACTTTTTAACACCCCTTGTCAGCATGGATTTCAAATTTTTATTGTACCACGGTGAACTTATCTGTTGGTTCCAGTTTTCATGAACTTTTTTAAGTACCCTCATATTGAGCTATGCCTGACCTAAGTCTATTTTGTCTCCGGATGATCTCTAATCACTCCTTTTTTTTTTTTTTTTTTTTTGACAGGTAGAGTTAGACAATGAGAGAGAGAGACAGACAGAGAGAAAGGTCTTCCTTTTTCTGTTGGTTCACCCCCCAAGTGGCCGCTACGGCCGGAGCGTTGCGGCCAGCACGCTGCACCAATCCGAAGCCAGGAGCCAGGTGCTTCTCCTGGTCTCCCATGCGGGTGCAGGGCCCAAGCACTCCGGCCATCCTCCACTGCACTCCCTGGCCACAGCAGAGAGCTGGACAGGAAGAGGAGCGACCGGGACTAGAACCCAGTGTGCCAGTACCGCAGGCGGAGGATTAGCCTAGTGAGCCGCAGCGCCGGCCCTAGTCACTCCATTTGTCCTCTATTTTTTCTAACCAGTTACATTAAGTGCTGGGAAAATGCGTCAGTGCCCAGCCCCCCACCCCACAATAAGTGTAACCTTGCTTGTTTTAGCTTCTGTAACAAATACTTGGCTTTGTAATTAACTCCCAACCAGATGTGGTTTTTGTCTTTATAAGCTTACCCTTGAACTCAATCGGGGCTGCATGATTTGGAAAACACATGCCCCTGTGCAGCCACTGGCTTTCAAAATAAAAACTCCATAATTTGGCCATGAGACTTCGGCCTCTTCTGTAAAAGTCTCGCTGTGTTTTAATTGGTGCACCCCACAACAATACATCCGTAAGTAATTTCTTACCACTTCCAAAGTTGTTGAGGAGTAGGCATTTGATTTGGGGCCGGTGTTGTGGCACAGCAGGTTAAACCACCCTCTGTGACGCCAGCATCCCATATTGGAGTGCTGGTTGGAGACCCAGCTGCTCCGTTTCTGATACATTTCCCTGCTAATGCACCTGAGAAGACAGTGGAAAATGGCCCAAGTACTTAAGCCCCTGTGACCCACTTGGAAGACCCAGATGGAATTCTGGGCTCCTTCAGCCTGGACAGGCCTCAGCCACTGCAGTCATCTGGGAAGTGAACCAGCATATGGAAGATTCTTTCTTTCTTTCTTTCTTTCTTTCTTTCTTTCTTTCTTTCTTTCTTTCTTTCTTTCTTTCTTTCTCTCTCTCTCTCTCTCTCTCTCTCTCTCTCTTTCTCTCTCTCTTTCCCTTCCTTCCCTTCCCTTCCTTTCCTTTCCTTTTCCTTCCTTCCTTCCTTCCTTTCCTTACTTCCTCCCTCCCTTCCTTCTCTCTCTCTCTCTCTCTCTCTCTCTCTCTCTGTCACTCTGCCCTTTGAAAAAAAATAAATCTTTAAAGCAGAAGAAGAAACAGGAAAAGAAATAAAGAGAGGAAGGGTGGGAGGAAGGAAGGAAGGAGCCCATACCCTGGGCTGCTGGTGTGGTACAGCAAATTATGCTGCTGTTGCAACCGGCAACATATCACATGTGCCTCTTTCAATCCAGCTCCCTGCAAATGTGCCTGGAAAAGCTGCCAAAGGACTGGCTGGGGCCATTTGAGAAGTGAACCGGCAGATAGAAGACCTCCATATCTCTCTCACATTCGCTCTCACTCTTGCTCTACCTTTCAAATAAGTAAATAAATATTTTAAAAGAAGCAGCAGCAGCCAGCATCCCATATCAGAATGCCAGAATTCCTGACTTCAGCTCCTAATTCCAGCTTCCAGCCAATGCAGACCCTTGAGGCAACAGGTGATGTCTCAAGTAATTGGGTCCCTGCCACCCACGTGTGACACCTGTATTGGTTCCTGGTTTCAGCTTGGCCCAATCCTGGCTGTTGCATGCATTTGAGGAGTGAATTGGTGGATAGGAACTCTGTCTCTCTTTCTGTCTCTACCTCCCAAATTTAAAAACAGTAGAAAATGAACAGAAATACTGATCATAAACCACATATTGCTAGGCTAGCAGATGACTAGTTTAAGGGGCTGGATAAAGAGAGGGTTACATATTCCTTTTGCTGAAGCACACGGGTGGAGATAGTTACTGTAAGAAAAGTATGCAATTTTTCTCTGGGCTGCAAACTTATTTGGAGTGTATCAGGCTCAAGACGTTAACACAGACTTTGTGCCTTCTATGCTACCTGGGCAATACGGAGCTTAGATATCATAGCTCACCCCAATCGCGATAAACTTTCCTAATTTTTCTTGGGATTAGGGAAAAAAAAACAAATTATATGCAATATATATTCTCAATCATACATAAATGCATAATTATACACAGAAGGCACACGAAACACATACAGAATTGGATGTGTTGTTCATACGACCACTCTGTGAAATGTATCTTATATTCCGCCATCCTTCTCTTCAGGTACCACAAAGTTCGAAGCTGAGAAAGGACTTTATCTCCTCTCCCCGTTAGTTTAGATTTGAGAAGCCACTCGGAACTAGAGGAGAGCGTAGACCCAGTTGCCCTACCGGCTTGTTTATACCGATACACACGTCCCTTCCAGTCTGCAGAACCGCCTACGTCCGGGGAAGGGGTTTACCGACGTACTCGAAACGATTCCCAAGGTTCCCCTCAGGTTTGGGTGGTTGTACGGTGGCGGGATCTGAAAGCCAAGGCAACCGGGATCTTCCTAGACTGGTGAGAGCGCCCCCTTCTTCAGCGACTTCTGGGATCCTGCAGCAGCAATGGCTCGGGTATCCGGCTCACGGAGCCCGGAAACCTCGGGCTCCGGGGGAAAACGTCGCAGTTCGTCGAAGAGCCCCAAGCCCAGCAAATCTGCTCGGTCCCCGCGGGGCCGCCGCTCTCGCTCGCACTCTTGCTCTCGATCCGGGGAACGGAATGGCCTCAGTCACCATCTAGGTGGCCTCAGTCACAGCTCAAGAAACCAGTCCTACCGCTCCCGCTCGCGGTCACGTTCTCGAGAGCGGCCCTCTGCGCCTCGGAGCACACCTTTCGCTTCTGTCTCCTCGTCCACCTATTATGGCGGCTACTCGCGCCCCTATGGGAGCGACAAGCCGTGGCCTAGCCTCCTGGACAAGGAGAGGGAGGAAAGCCTGCGGCAGAAGTGAGTGACCCCCCTCCCCCACTTTTCCTTTTACGAACCCACCTCCCTTTGGAGTCCGATTTATCATTCATTCCTCTTGTGGCCGTTTGTGTTCGCTCATACTTGCCTTGTATCCGTTTTCACCCCGTTATCCAGTCCACCCATGGCGACCCTTTTATACGTCCTTTTATTCCCTTACATTTTCATTCATTATACATTGCCATGGTTTCGTGCTACCCTCTTCCCTCTTCGGGGTTGTTAGCAAACGCGGTCAAGAGCCTCACATCTACCAGATTTATAGCATTTACTTGGTTGTGCCATTATCATTTGAGAGCCCCATTTTATTGATTATAGAATTCCCAGTGCCTAGCACTTTGCAAACATGCAACCATTGCTTATTGAAGAAATAGGCTTGATTTAACAGAACACGTAAGTGGTAATGTTTTGTGGGGAATTGGGAAGGTTGAAATCAAGGGTTTAAATTGGAGAGAAGGAAAATCTTCCCCTCAGACAAGGCGATGAATGTAGGAAAAGTGACCTGCTAGGCTGTAGATGAGGCTACCTTGAGAAAGGACTTGCAGAGTGGTCTCGATCTTGTTTGATCATGAAAAATGATATTGGGGTGAGATCAAATTTCTAGTAAGAGTGAGTATGGAGTGGAAAAATGCATGGTTTAAGGGGAAAGGAAAAGGTTTATAATTATTGCTGTGGAAGCCTTTGTCTCTAATGTTTATTAAAGGTTAGATTTATGTATCCAGTACTGTGCTGAGGACTAGACATGCTGTATGTGTCAGAAAATGAGAAATGTAAAAGTATTTCAGGCATTGAGGAGCAAGTTAAAGTTTCAGCAGTTGAGAGGTGTCTTTGTGATTCTTTTGCTAACTGCAGTTTCATCCAGGAATCAGACTGTCTGAAATTGATGTGCTTATTTGGTATTTAACAACAGTGTGAACTTGAGCGAGTTGCTTAACCTCTCTGAGTTTTACTTCTTCACTATTAAAAAAAAGATAAAATTAGTATGAAGGATTTTAGGGTTGTAATAATTTAGTGTTTGGAACATAATAAATACTCCACAAGTGTTAGATGTTAGTTCAGCATGCATGGAAGAAGAAACAGTGAAAACAGTCCTGAGTTAGGTTACTTCCAAGTTAAATTTTTCAGAAAAGTACCCAGAGGCTTTATCAATCAAAAAGCAAATGGTTTCTTAGTGGAAAATCTCCACCAAAATATGTCAGAACTGCTTGAATGAAATTTGCATTTGTACATTTAAGGAGATAAGTAATTTATCTTAACAGTACAGATGAAGCCAGGTGACAGCAGGTATGAGAACAGGACTCCAAGCGCTGTAGAATTTGGCTGATACTCTTCTCCCTATATGTAAATATTCCAAGTATGTCCCCTTTTAGATTGTATGTTTCTTAAAGTGGGAAATGCTGAGTCTGACTCTGCATAATGATGATATCATTTCCCCCTGAAGAAATAATATAATTTATTCAAACAAACCAGCTATATTTATTTTGTAAGGATGTTTAAAAAGAAATCAAATCACAAACAGCCAAACTTTTAGGAAGTGGGCCTTTTTTTTTTTAACTTTAAGAGTAATAGCAAAAATTAAAACAAACCACATTATAAAACAAAAGAAGAAAATTTTAATGTCCTCCAAAGAATAGAGAATGTACTACTTTTCCAAAAAGAAACTAAAGGGAAAACAGAGAGAGAACAAACCCTGTGTCTCACTGAGTACAAGTTTTGTCAAATAAGACTTTTTTTCATTTTTAGAACTTTTGTTTTCTGCTTTTATCAATTCCTGGGCTTCTGAAAGCTGAAGATTTGAGCAAATCAAGAGACTCCTCTTTACTTTCATAAACATCTGAACAAATGAAGTTATTTCCAAATGTAAAACTCTGTCACAAATTGCAGACAATAAAATGAATAATGAATAGTTATATCATGAATTAGGCAGAAGGGAAATACCTTCCAGTCTCCCAGGCTGTCGTTTCTGACCCAGCCACCCAAGCTATTTGTAGTTGCTACCGTTTGATAGTACTATCAGAACACCAAAAATCCCAAGTGATGAATTTAAACCAAGTTTTTATCAACATTTAAAAATAAAGAGAAATTAGACTTAACTGGGATCTTGTTGGATTTGATTATATATTTAAGAACAATTCAACCATTGAGTTATAATTTGTATACCTATACCTTCTAGGAGATTAAGTGAGAGAGAGAGGATTGGAGAATTGGGAGCTCCTGAAGTATGGGGACTTTCTCCAAAGAATCCTGAACCAGAGTAAGTGGTTTCAAAATATTGTATTGTATTCTACTGTTTAAATTCTAAGTCTGTTGCCAAAATTTTTAAGTGAAGAACTTTAAGTACATTTCACGTTTTTCTTCTTTCTTGTCATTTATGCGGTTCTACCCTTCAAGTTTTACTTTTAAAGATAGATTGATTGATTGATTGATTGATTTGAAAGGCAGAGTGACAGAAAAAGAGAGAGACAAAGAGAAAGAGAAAGAGATCATCCATCTGCTGGTTCACTCCCCAAACGAATACAACAGCCAAGGCTGGGCCATCACAAAGCCAGGAGTCAGAAACTCCATTCTAGTCTCCCACATCGTTGCAGGAGCCCAAATATTTGGGCCATCTTCTGCTGTCTCCCCAGGCATTTTAGCAGGAAGCTGGATTGGAAGCAGAGCAACTGAAATTCCAATATGGGATCCCGATGTTGTAACCAGCAGCTTAAACCATTATACCACAACAGCAGTCCCTACCCATTAAGTTTTAAAAACATGGAACTGTGGCATAGCAGGTAAAGCATCCCATATGGGTGCTGGTTCAAGTCCTGGCTGCTCCATTTCCAATCCAGCTCTCTGCTGTGGCCTGGGAAAGCAGTGGAAGATGGCCCAAGTCCTTGGGCCCCTGCACCCGCATGAGAGACCCGAAAGAAGCTCCTGGCTCCTGGCTTCGGATCGGCCCAGCTCCAGCCATTGGGACCATCTATGGAGTAAGCTAGCAGATGGAAGACCTCTCTCTCTCTCTCTTTCTCTCTCTCTCTCTCTCTCTGCCTCTGCCTCGTGTAACTCTGCCTTTTAAATAAATAAATAAATCTTAAAAATATAAAAACATGGAACTTATATAAAGATTAAGACATGTTGTTAGTAGATCTTAGTCTGCTAATTGTTCGCTTTCAGTTGTAAGTCATGGGGTGCTACTGTTCTATTCATAGAATGGTTCAGTGTTAAATAATAGTGGTGGGCATTTCAGAGTGCCTGCATTGGAGTCCCAGCTCTGCTTCCAATTGCAGCTTCCTGCTGATGCACACCTTGTGAGGCAGCAGGTGATAGCTCAGTACCTGAGTTCCTACTACCCATATGGGAGACTCAAATGGCGTTCTGGGCTTGACTTCAGCCTGGCCCAGCTCCAGCTGTTGTGGGCATCTGGGGAATGAGCCAGTGAATGGAAGATCTCTGTCTCTCTGCCTTGCGACTAAAAATAAATAAATATTTTAAAAAACAAATAATACTTATATTATTTTGAATTGTTTTTTCTCAACCTAGTAGCAGATTGCGTGTCAGATTAATGCAATTAGCATTACAAAGGTATTTTTAAATGAATATACTAGTATGTTTTGCGTAGTTATTGTTCCTGTATATAGTACTATCTGAAGGCTGCTTTTCCTTTTTTCTCTTTGATGTTATTGGTAAGTCTCTTCTTCCCTCTCGGTATGCTTTAAGGTGAGTTAAGACAGTATGCTTGGCCGGTGCCGCGGCTCACTAGGCTAATCCTCCACCTAGCGGCGCCGGCACACCGGGTTCTAGTCCCGGTTGGGGCGCCGGATTCTGTCCCGGTTGCCCCTCTTCCAGGCCAGCTCTCTGCTGTGGCCAGGGAGTGCAGTGGAGGATGGCCCAGGTGCTTGGGCCCTGCACCCCATGGGAGACCAGGAGAAGCACCTGGCTCCTAGCTCCTGCCATCGGATCAGCGCGGCGCACCGGCCGCGGCGGCCATTGGAGGGTGAACCAACGGCAAAGGAAGACCTTTCTCTCTGTCTCTCTCTCTCTCACTGTCCACTCTGCCTGTCAAAAAATTAAAAAAAAAAAAAAAGACAGTATGCTTGACAGGTAAATCTGTAATTTTGTGAAATCATGGGAAAATATTATTACCTGAAATTTTTCTCATAGATAGCTTTGGAAAATGCTTCATGAACTAATTGATAGAATTAAAGTTGGAAAGAACCCTGAACATTGTTTTCTGGACAATGCCTAAATTATTTCAAGTGTTATCTTCAGGGGAAATGATTATAGAATGTCGGAACTCCCTTTCTGAACTGTTATAGAATTTTAGTAATACTCCCTTTCAGAATTCTCTGCAACAAAATGAAATCTCTTTAGATTATTGTTCGTCAGGTTCTTTTTGCTCTGGGGAGACAGAACAGTTGCTGCTACTCTATGTTTTCTACACACAATTAAATTATGCAACCTTCTTAATCTCCAGCATCTTTTATCTTTCTTTATGGCTCCCATTTCTCTACTTTTTTTAAAGATTTATTTATTTATTTGAAAGAGTTACAGAGAGAGGTAGAGACAGAGAGAGAGGTCTTCCATCCGCTGATTCACTCCCCAGATTGCTGCAATGGCCAGAGCTGAGCCAATCCAAAGTCAGGAACCAGGAGCTTCTTCTGGATCTCTCACATGGGTGCAGGGACCCAAGGACTTGGGCCATCTTTTACTGCTTCCCCAGGCCATAGCAGAGAGCTGGATCAGAAGAGGAACAGCCAGGACTTGAACCAGCTCCCATGTGGGATGCTGGCGCTTCAGGCCAAGGGTTTAACCCACTGTGCCACAGTACTGGCTCCACCCATTTCTCTACTTTTGCCCTGTAGGTTTTTCTGAAAATACTAATCCTCCATGCTGTTTTGTTTGAGTAGCATTTTATAATCTCCAAACAATTTTGCAAATCTAAGTTAGTTTATTATTACATAGGTAGTAGACCCTTGAATTGCACTCTTACAACACTAGTCCAAGACTTGCTTTAAGTGGTTTTTAGACAGTCATTGTAACTGAAAAATTTTAGGTCTATATTTTTATACTCCACGGTCCATGTTTCATCACTTTTCTGATTCTTGCAACCATTTTCTTGAAATTCAGCTCTGATGAACATACACCAGTAGAGGATGAAGAGCCAAAGAAAAGCACCACGTCGGCTTCTTCTTCAGAAGGTATTTTTAAGATACAGGGCTTTCTTGAGAAGTTAAAAACTAAGTTTATAAATAGTTGAACATTATACTTTGCTTTTAATTGAATTGCCCATCATCTGTTCCTTGTCAGTATTTTAAATGCAGCCAATTCGATATTCAGAAATACTCTTTTGGAAATGAGATTTTTGCTTGTATCCTCTATAGATGAAAAAAAGAAGAAGAAGAAGTCCAATCATTCAAAAGAAAGGTCCAAGAAGAGGAGAAAGAAAAAATCATCTAAAAGAAAACACAGGAAGTATTCTGAAGATAGTGACAGTGACTCTGATTCTGAAACAGACTCTAGTGGTAAGAAAACCAACATCATTCTGCAAGCTTTGCTTCAAAACTAGTTTTACTTCTTAAAACTTATTTTAGAAGGAGCTTCTAAAAAGCAATAATAATAGCCAAGAGTTTGTGAATGCTTGCTGACTTTGTGTCAGGCACCCTGCTAAGTGCTTTATGTTTGGTATCGATATTTAATCTAAACAACAACTTTAGGGTACACCTTATAGATTAAGAAATGGAGGGTCCTCCGCCTAGCGGCGCCGGCACACCGGGTTCTAGTCCCGGTTGGGGCGCTGGATTCTGTCCCGGTTGCCCCTCTTCCAGGCCAGCCCTCTGCTGTGGCCAGGGAGTGCAGTGGAGGATGGCCCAGGTGCTTGGGCCCTGCACCCCATGGGAGACCAGGATAAGCACCTGGCTCCTGGCTCCTGCCATCGGATCAGCGCGGTGCGCCGGCCACAGCGGCCATTGGAGGGTGAACCAACGGCAAAAGGAAGACCTTTCTCTCTGTCTCTCTCTCTCACTGTCCACTCTGCCTGTTAAAAAAAAAAAAAAAAAAAATGGAGGGACTGGCCCTATGACGTAGCCACCTCCTGCAGTGCTGGCATCCCATATGGGCGCTGGTTTGAGTCCCAGCTGCTCCACTTAGATCCAGCTCTGTTATGGCCTGGGAAAGCAGTAGAAGATGGCCCAAGTCCTTGGGCCCCTGCACCTATGTGGGAGACCTGGAGGAAGCTCCTGGCTCCTGGCTTTGAATTGGCTTAGCTCTGGCCATTGGGGAGTCAGCAGGTGGAAGACCTCTCCCTCTCTCTGCCTCTGCCTCTCTCTGGCTCTGCCATTCAAGGAAAAAAAAAATCTTTAAAAAAAAGAAAGAAAGAAATGGAGGCACAGGGCATGTTATAAGTATCATACCCAAAGTCACACAGATGGGATTCAGACCTAAGAAGATTGACTCCAGATTGGTTGTACAAAGTTGTACAAGGCATGTGGCACAGACCAGGTGAGGAGATTGGGCTACAGTACACGTGGCACCAAAGAGAACCTTAGAAAGCTACATCCATTCAATGGAAGGGTTATTTTATGTAAATAATTCTCACGCACAGTGGACAATTCTGTACATTTTTTTTTCTTTAAGTACATCATAAAGGGGCTGACGTTGTGGTATAGCACCCATATGGGCACCACTGGCTGCTCCACTTCTGATCCAACTCCCTGCTAATAGCCTGGGAAAAGTAGTGGAAGATGGCCCAAGTGCTAGAGCCCCTGCCACCAACGTGGGAGACCTGGATAAAGCTCCTGGCTCCTGGCTTCAGCCTGGCCTAACCCTGGCCATTGCAGCCATTTGGAGGGTGAACCAGCAGAGGGAAGACTTCTTTCTCTCTCTCTGTCTCTATATCTCTCTCTAACTCTGCCATTCAAATAAAAAAAATAAAAATCTCTTCAAAAAAGGTGCGCTGGCTTCAAGCTGGCTGCTGATTGATTCAAAGCACCCCCTTTGGAGTAGTACATCACCAAAAAAACACTTTTTTGTGCCCTTTCCTGGCTAATGATCGAGTAGAAGGCACCTCCTCTGGGACTGACACACTGCAAAAAGGCTCCCTTTCCACTGATGCTCCCTGGCTTGCCTGACCACTGTTGTCTCTTTTCTTCCTCACTGCTGAAAGACCCGACTTTCTTTCTTTTTAAGTTTTTAAATATTTATTTTCATTTTATTTTTTGAAAGGCAGAGAGACAGAGAAAGAGATAGAGAGATAGAGATCTTCTGTCAGCTGGCTCACTCCCAAAATGCCCACAACAAGGCTGGGCCAGCTTAAGTCAAGAGCCCAGAACTCAATCCAGATCTTCCGCGTGCATAGCAGAGACCCAAATACTTGAGCCATCATCTGCTGCCTCACAAGGTGTGCATTAGCAGTAAGTTGAATCAGAAGCAGAGGAGCCAGGACTCAAACCAGGCACTCCAGTAGGGGATGCAGCCATCCCAAGCAGCAATTTAATTGCTGTACCAAACACTCACTCCTGGACTTTGCTAAAATATACACCTTAGCATGTCAGTCCCCTACGTAAAATCCTTTGATGGCTTTCCATAGGCTTCATGGTAAAGTTCAGACCCTATAATTACACATACCCTGCCACTCTCTTACACCATCCTCTATAGCCTGAGAACTACTGTGTATCTGCTAGGCATCCCATGCTGTTTCTCTGGACTCTGTTACTTGGTATGAAGAATTCCTGTACCTGTACAGTCTCCTCCTCCACCCAGCTTGGCTTATTCATTGCAACAATTGGCGTGTGTTGCTTTTGTAATAAACTGGTTTTAAAAAAAACTGGTTTAAGAGTTACCTTTTCCTGGTCAACCATTCTTCAACAACTCTCCCCAAATCAGTATGATTTTGAGATTCCTCTGTGTGCCCACTGCACCACATGCTTCCCCGTGTCACTCAGATTATTGTTATCACTTCACCTGTCTGTCTCCTCTATTAGACTTAACTCCTAGAAAGCATTCTGTCTCCCTCTCAAACACATAGGTTTTATCCCCCTTTTTGTCATGAAAATCTTCAAGTATTTAGAAAAATAAAGAAGACAGTATAATCAGTAGTATAATTAATACCATGAATTTTACCACCCAGATTTAATACTAATGCATATTTTTGACCTACATTTGATTCAAATATGGTTCTTTTGCTAAGACAGTCAAAGTAAATTACATTGTCATACTTCTACCCTAAATATTTCAGTATGCATCTAAAAAATGGGCTGGCGCCGCGGCTCACTAGGCTAATCCTCCGCCTAGCGGCGCCGGCACACCGGGTTCTAGTCCCGGTTGGGGCGCCGGATTCTGTCCCGGTTGCCCCTCTTCCAGGCCAGCCCTCTGCTGTGGCCAGGGAGTGCAGTGGAGGATGGCCCAGGTGCTTGGGCCCTGCACCCCATGGGAGACCAGGAAAAGCACCTGGCTCCTGGCTCCTGCCATCGGATCAGCGCAGCGCGCCGGCCGCAGCAGCCATTGGAGGGTGAACCAACGGCAAAAGGAAGACCTTTCTCTCTGTCTCTCTCTCTCACTGTCCACTCTGCCTTTCAAAAAAAATGACATTTTTCTACTTACCAACAATACTGTTAACTCGCTAACTAAATTAATAATAATACCCAATATCACCTAATACCTAGTATGACCTTAAGTTCTATATCCCCAGTGCCTAGCACAGTTCCTGACAAGTAGCAATAAATGTTTGAATGAATGAATTTCTCTGTGATAACAATTGAGACAGCAATAGGATGTTTACTCAAGAGACTTGGGGCTTTAGAGAATTTTTTTTTAATTATAATGTGCTTTACTTTGCAGATGAAGATACAAAAAGGAAAGCAAAGAAAGCCAAGAAAAAGGAAAAGAAGAAGAAACACAGATCGTCAGTTTTTTTCTTTAATTTTTATTATGAAAGAGTTCCAGTGAATATAAAATTACATAAAATAGTGTAATGAATCCCCAATTTGCCCATCCCCCAGGGATTTTTTCATTTAAGTATTTAGTAAGTGTTTATGTTTCAAGTACCATTCAAGGTGCTGGGATACAAAACAGAAGTTCCTGCCCTTTTGGAGTAGCAATTTAAGGGAAGATGCACAATGTATAGAAGTGAATTCCATATATTATTTATTGAGTTTGTTAGAAGAGCTATAGAAAAATAATGTAGAATAAGGACAATAAGGTAGTTGGGGATGGGGGCAGACTGTGGTTTCAAATACAGTGATTAGAATAGGTTTCACCTAGAAGGTAACATATTTTAAAACAAGGATAAATTTGGCAAAACTAAAAATTCTCTCAGCATTTGTTCAGTATATGTACAAATTCTCCAACTGCATCCACTACTAGAACATAAATTTCAGAACTCAAAGAACATTTCAAATGACACCAAGCTAGGCCAGTACCAGTAAGTATTACAATTTTACCTGGACCTAACATTTTAGCGTACATGGTTAAACTTTGATGCCTAGGTAAAGGAAACTACTTAAAAATGGTAATTAAAATAATAAGTATACAGATACTTGTATAATATAGTACCACTATATCAAAAGTCCATGTTTGTTTAAAAATATTTTATTTGAAAGGCAGAGTTATAGAGAGAGAGAGAGAGTGAGAGAAATACTCTGCTCCACTGGTTCGCTCCCCAAATGGCTGCAATGGCATGAAGCCAGGAGTTTCATGCATGTCTCCCACATGGGTGCAGGGAGTCCTTAGGCCATCTTTCCCAGGTACATATGTTAGCAGGAAGCTGGATCAGAAGAGCAGCTGGGACTCACCAGCCCATATGGGATGCTGGCCTTGCAGGTGGCAGCTTAACCCATTGTGCCACAACACGAGCCCCAAAAAGTACAGTCTTAAGTGCTCAATGTACTTTCACCTCATTTTTAAAAACTTTTTAGGGGCCAGTGCTGTGGTGTTGCAGGTAAAGTTGCTGCCTGCAGTGCCGGCATCCCATAGGGTTGCCGGTTCAAGTCCTAGTTGCTCCACTTCGATCCAGCTCTCTGCTATAGCCTGGGAAAGCAGTGGAAGATGGCCCAAGTCCTTGAACCTCTGCACCCACTTGGGAGACCCAGAAGAAGCTCCAGGTTCCTGGCTTCTGGTTGGCACAGCTCTGGCCTCTGGCCATTTTGGGAGTGAACCAGCAGATAGAAGACACCTCTCTCCCTCTCTCTCCCTCCCCCTCCCTCTCCCTCCTTCTCCCTCTCTCTCCCTCTCTCTTTCTTTGCCTCTGCCTCTGCAACTCTGCCTTTCAAATAAATAAATCTTTTAAAAAACGTTTTAATAAAAATCTTTATACACAAAATACTGAGAATAGTATGAATCCCAGATACCCTGTTCATGACTGTATACTCTGAGGGAACACAATTTTTTAAACATAATACCATAATATCACTATGATATCCAATACAATGAACAATTCCTTTCTACCATCAAATATCTATTCCACTTTTAGTTTTCCTGTATTAAAAACACCCCAGGTTTTTCCACTTGATTTCGTCTAATCTGGATCAACCGTTAATCAGTTTGAACAGTTATCAACTCATGGACATTTTCTACCACCCATTGATTATTTTGGAACCAATCCTAGATATATTCCATCCATAAATAATTCAGTACCTTTCTGTAAAAGGCAGTCATTCTTTATTAAAAGGAAAAATAATAACCACACTGCTATTATGCTTAAAATATTTAACAGTAATTGCTCGATTATCAACAATTTCTCTGCAGTTTATTCAAATCAACATTCAAATAATATCCATAAATTAAAATTATTGCATTCTTACAGTGTTCCAGAGAACGTTCTCTGTCCTCAATATTTCCTGTAGATAGATAAAGGTTTACCAAGGTTCAGATTGGTGTTTTGGGGAGGATACTTCATAGGTGGGCTGTGTACTTCTGTCAGGAAGCAAACAACGTCTGGTTTTCTATTTTTGTCATAATGATGAACATTGTCTAGATCTGTTACTTCATTAGGGATTGCAAAATGGTGATACTCTAATTATAACTTTCCTTCTTTATTTACTAGATAGGATAATTCAGTAAGAGAAATTTACTCATTGAACATATAGTATAGTTTGTATAGAAAAGGTAGGATAATTGCTTAATTCTTTTTAAGAATTTTCAAAATAATGAGTTGGAATTTTTTATACCATAATGAATCTAAGGATTTAGACATTTAATGTATTTAACCCATTACACTTAAAATTATTAATGCTCAAATTGGCAAGTCATTTTTCTGTTGTCTTTCTACAATATGAGAACTGTGTTTCACTATTCTTTTAGAGATTTTATTTTTTATTATGAGAGAGCGCCCATCCATTGGTTTGTTTTTGTTTTTTTTGACAGGCAGAGTGGACAGTGAGAGAGACAGAGAGAAAGGTCTTCCTTTTGCTGTTGGTTCACCCTCCAATGGCCGGTGCGTTGCGGCTGGCGCCCCGCGCTGATCCGAAGGCAGGAGCCAGGTGCTTCTGGTCTCCCATGGGGTGCAGGGCCCAAGCACTTGGACCACCCTCCACTGCCTTCCCAGGCCACAGCAGAGAGCTGGCCTGGAAGAGGGGCAACTGGGACAGAATCCGGCGCCCCGACCAGGACTAGAACCCAGTGTGCCAGCGCCGCAAGGCAGAGGATTAGCCCAGTGAGCCACGGCGCCGGCGGAACTGTGGCTTTTTAAGCAGCATCTTAACTGCTAGGTGAAAATGCCCACCTCCAAGGATCCCTTTTTATAATGAAAAATGATTTAGTTAAATAAGTTATAAGTCTTTTAATTAAAATTATTCTCTAGCAACTTTGATAGGTCTAGATCATTTTAATCAGTCTTACCTTTCATTGCCTTGAAAAACTGATGCCTTTTAACATGGGAATATTAAGTGAATTTGTATCAAATTATAATCCCTACAGGAAGAAATATAAGAAAAAGAAATCCAAAAAGAACAGAAAAGAATCCAGTGATTCAAGCTCTAAAGAGTCCCAAGAAGAGTTTCTGGAGAATCCCTGGAAGGATCGATCAAGTAGGTTGTTCTGATAGACTAACTCAGAACAGATGAAACATCAAAGTAACCAATTAGTCAAAATGTGAATGTGTTTTTGAACATCTTTCATAGAGGCTGAAGAACCTTCAGATTTAATTGGCCCAGAGGCTCCGAAAACCCTTGCCTCTCAAGATGATAAACCTTTGAAGTAAGTAGCAGTGTATGTATATTATCTAAAGTACTTCCAAAAACTATAGCCCTAACTTGCCTTGCCAAACTTATCTCCCTCAAATCCTTTATTTATATCTGCTCAGGTTTCAGCTGAGCTGGTTTGCTAAGTTTGCTGAATTTACTGTTTCCTTTCTCACCTTTGTCTCATTTAGCTTCTTTCCTCCCCCTAATATGCCTTCCCTTCTTTTCCTTGCCCTGTATTTTCTTCCCTACCCAGCCCCCCATTTCTCCCTGTTAATATCCTTGCCATCCATCAAAGCTCTGTTTGAAAGGAGGGAGCATATACCAATCCTAATACTTCCCCTCCACAAGTAGACATGATAGCTATCCCTCTTTAATCCTCACAGCATTTTCTATTTCTTTCATGCCATGTATTAGATATTTTCCTTATATTGTAGTTATAGCCTTATTAATAAGTGAATTCCACAACGGCAGAAATTTTTATATATTTTTTTAAAGATGTACTTTGTTTATTTAAAAGACAGAGTTACATAGATAGGTAGAGTCAGAGAGAGAGAGAGAGAGAGAGAGAGATCTTCCATCCATTGCTTCACTCCCCAGATGGCCACAACGGCTGGAGCTGTGCCGATCCAAAGCCAGGAGCTGGGAGCTTCCTATAGGTCTCCCACACAGGTGCAGGGGCCCAAGGACTTGCTTTTCCAGGCCATAGTAGAGAGCTGGATTGGAAATGGAGCAGCCAGGACTTGAACCAGTGTTCATATAGGATGCTGGTGCCACAGGCCAGGGCTTTAATCCACTGTGCCACAGCGCCAGCCCTGGAATTATTTTTATATTAAAAGCTTTGAGGGGCCAGCACTGTGGCACTGTGGCATAGCAGGTAAAGCCGCCACCTGCAGTGCCGGCATCCCATATGGGCACCGGTTCAAGACCCAGCTGCCTCACTTCTGATCCAGCTCTCTGCTGTGGCCTGGGAAAGCAGTGGAAGATGACCCATATCCTTGGGCCCCTGCACCTGCATGGGAAGACCTGGAGGAAGCTCCTGGCTCCTGGCTTTGGATTGGCGCAGCTCTAACCATTGAGGCCAATTGGGGAGAGAACCAGTGGATGGAAGACCTCTCTCTCTCTCTCTCTCTCTCTTTCTCTGCCTCTCCTCCTCTATGTAACTCTGACTTTCAAATAAATAAATAAATCATTTTAAAAGCTTTGAGTTTAATAAGTATACAAGAAATAGTCACTGAACTGAATAGTAGCATTTGGAATTGCTTTGAATCAAAATTAGTAGATAATTATTACTGTATAGCATTATTAGTGGTTGTAAGTCTTAAACATACATTAATTTGTAATGTATTATTTTGTTATTGTGGAGTTTTTTTAAGGGCAAAGGGAATCAGATTGAGCCAGGGCAGTAATGTCAATACCTATTAGGGATAAATTAATCTATAGCTATAAACATAAATGTATACTAATACATTTTTTTAAAAAAAAGATTTACTTTATTTGTTTGACAGGTAGAGTTACAGAGAAAAGGAGAAAGAGAGAGGAAAAAAAATTGATTGATTTCCTATCTGCTTGTTCACTCCCCAAATAGCCACAAGGGTTGAACCAGGTTGAAGCCAGGAGCCTGGAACTCCATCCAAATCTCCCAAGTAGGTGGCTATTGGGCCACCTTCAGCTGCTTTCCCAGGCACGTTAGCAAGTAGCCAGATCGGAAATGTAGCAGCTAGGACTCAAACTGTTGCTCATATGAGATGTCAGCATTGCAGAAGGTGGCTTAATCTGCTGAACCACAATGCTAGCCCCACGTTCTTCATTTCCAATGCATCTCTGCATTTCTTTGTTAGTTATATAGGTCATAGAGCAATGTTCACTAATTAAAGTAATTCATATTAAGCTTCCCAGTACACTACTACTTAGTGCTCTTATTTCCCCCTATTATCTAAGAGAAACAAATTTTGTGCTGTCTTTAGAGATGAGCTTTTTGTATTGAGATGGTTTAATAGAGCTTTTCTGAACTCTGAATTACTTTTTAGCTATGGCCATGCTCTGTTACCTGGGGAAGGTGCAGCTATGGCTGAATATGTAAAAGCTGGAAAACGTATTCCACGAAGAGGAGAAATTGGCTTGACAAGTGAAGAAATTGCATCATTTGAATGTTCAGGTTATGTAATGAGTGGTAGCAGGTATGTTGGCATTGAGTTTAATTTCCACGATTACATCTTTCTTTCTTACTACCAGAATTATATCTTGGTAATTAATTTTCATTAAGTGACTATTCCTGATATAAAGTAGAATGTAACTATTGTTTTGATGTTGTTTTATTGTTCTAAACATGGTTGTCTAAAATTTCAGGTATATATATATATATATATGCAACTCTACTATATCTCCAACTACAAAGAATCAAGCTTTTCCATGTCTTGTCCTAGTTTATGTTTTAGTACAGATATTTTATCTACTGGAGGATATAGTTAAATTCAGCTATTTATCACAGACACATAAGAAGTGTGGCATTTTGAAAGTTAGGAAGACATTTTCCCAAGACAGTGTTTCCTGGTTTCCAAATTGGCCTCCGGTTCTCTATGCACCCAAGTTTCTGAGAATCAATAGCAGAAAAGAATTATGAAAGATGTTACATGCAGCATGGAGAAATGAATGGAAAGAAGGGGGAGAGAAAGCAAAGTACCAGAAAGAAACAGGAGAGTGAGCTGAGAGGACAACTATAATAAATTCAAATTGAATTTTGAATTCTTTAACTTTTAAACTTTTTAAGTAGATAACTACTTTTAAATGTCATGAGAAGCAAACATTTGCAGAACTCCTGCAGTACCTCTATAACCTTGGAATTCTGGGGGCAATATTTATTTTTATTAAAGATTTATTTATTTCACATGAGAGTCAGAGTTACACAGAGAGAGGAGAGGCAGAGAGAGAAAGGTCTTCCTTCTGATGGTTCACTCCCCAATTGGCCGCAACGGCTGGAACTGCACCAATCCAAAGCCAGGAGCCAGGAGCTTCCTCCAGGTCTCCTACGTGGGTGCAGGGGCCCAGGGACTTGGGCCATCTTCTACTGCTATCCCAGGCCATAGCAGAAAGCTGGATTGGAAGTGGAGCAGCTGGGACTAGAACCGGCACCCACGTGGGATGCTGGCGCTTCAGGCCAGGGCGTTAACCTGCTTCACCATAGCACCAGCCCTGGGGACAATATTTGAAACATTGTATTTGAGGACTAACAGTAAGAAAAAGAAATCAGGCCGGCACCACAGCTCACTGAGCTAATCCTCTGCCTGTGGCACCGGCATCCCAGGTTCTAGTCCCGGTTGGGGCGCCAGATTCTGTCCTGGTTGCTCCTCTTCCAGTCCAGCTCTCTGCTGTGGCCCGGGAGTACAGTGGAGGATGGCCCCAGTGCTTGGGCCCTGCTCCCACATGGGACACCCGGGGGAAGCGCCTGGCTTCTGGCTTCGGATCAGCACAGTGCGCCAGCCGTAGCGGCCATTTTGGGGGTGAACCAATAGAGGAAAGACCTTTCTCTCTGTCTCTCTCACTAACTGCCTGTCCAAAAAAAGAAAAAAAAGAAAAGAAAAAGAAATCAAAGGCTTAAGGATTGGAAAGAAGGATGTGACACCATCATTTTTTGTGAATTGTTTACGTAGAAAATTCCAGAACTACTTCAGATGAATTATAAATAATAAGGTTTAACAAATTGTTGTATATAAGGTTAATACACGAAAATCAATTGTGTTTTTATATACCAGCAACAGACAATCCAAAAATGCCATGAAATAAAAAGAAATCAGCAGTTAAAATAGTATTAGAAAAATATATAGGACTTAGGAAAGTCCTTATATCTTATATCATCTTAATGAAAGATGTCCAAGACCTCTGCAGAGAAGCTGTAAAACATTTTTAAGAGACATGAAAGAAGACCTAAAAATAAGTGGAGAGATAACCATGTTCATGGATAGGAATGTAGTATTGTAAATCATTTCTCCCCAAATTGATCTATAGACTCAACATAGTTTGAATCAAAATCACAAAAGCAGAATTTTTCATGAAATTTAATAAAGTGGTTCCAAAATTTATATGTTAGACTGACAGGCCAAGAATAGAGGTTAATTTCTGAAAAAGAAGAGCAGGAGGGTGAAATACCTGCTATGAGGACTTATTTTGAAGCTTATAGCATTTTAGAAAGCATAAAACAACCAAATTGTTCAATGGAGTAAAATACAGAGTCCAAGGACAGAGCTATGCATGCATAGAACTTTTGCTTATGAAAGAGATGGCTTGTCAGATGAGTATGGAAAGAAGGAACAGACACAGAAAATCCATATGGTAAAAGATGAAAGTAGGACCCTATATAGCCACATACAAAAAGCAATGCAGCCAGACTGAGGACATTAAGAGCAGATATCTTTTAGACCTCAGGGTAGAGAAGCAGTTTTTAAAGACAAAAAGAAAGTACTAACAATAAAATAAAATATTAGTAAGTTCACCTAGGTTAAACATAAGGACTTTTGTTCTTTAGAACATACCTTAAAATAAATAAAAAAGACAAGTTCCAAGCTGGGATAAAATCTTGGTATATATTACAACTGATAAAGAGTTGATGTTGATAACATTTAAAGAATATGTGTAAAGAACTCAGTAGAAAAATGGGAAAATGACAACAATGGGTATTTGTCAGAAGAAATACATATGGTCTACACATACATTAAAAGGTGTTCATTGCATCCACTGATAGACCTTGAACAATTTGCTGTTGTTCTTTTGGTTTGCACTAGGATGCCAAAGAAACATCCCTGCGCTTTCTGTCTGTCTTTGTGGCAGCCCAGATTGAATTGGGGAATACATTTGTAGGGAAAAAAAGAGGTGTTCATTATCATTGAAAATGGAAATCAAGAACATAGTGAAATGCCATTGTACACCCATTTGATAGAAGATTAAAGTTCTAACAATACACTTGAGAGGATGCGAATCTACACAGGATTCCTTAAGTACTGCTAGTGGGTATAAACATTTTGCAAAACAGTCTGGCATTACCTTGGCGATTGAGCTTTCATATACTATATGATCCAGCAACTTCATACCTGCATACCCAAGAGAAAATAATTCCCATGTACTAGAAAACATGTACATGGATGTTTTTTACAGCATCATTCATGTAGCACTTCTATTCCAGATAAACTACCATACTCACTGTACCCTGAGCAACCTGCATGTATTGTCATCATCTTCATTCTCCTCTCTTATCTTCATACTAACCTGAAATGTTTCCTCCCTCTTCTCCTTACCAAGTTTTTCTCCATTTTTCTAGATATAGCTCAAGCTTCTTGAACTTATTTTGTAGGATTGGATACACACATATGATAGAGGTGGATTTTCATGAAGTTCTCCCTGTAAATAAACTGACCTTTTGAAGATGATGGCATTGCTTCCCTCCGCCTCTACCCTTATTCTTCACTGGTTTGGCTCTTGTGCTAAATCTTTTCTTTGGGCCACTAATGAGTCAAAGGAAATTAAATCAAACTCCTCTTCGATTACAGATTTTAACTTGGTTCTTTTGGTTGTATTTCAAATTAGAATATTGAAGTTGCACCTCAGTTATGAAAACTAAAATCTTTTATCTATCCTACTACCAATTGCACTAAGACAAAAAGATATATCACCTAAGAAGTGTAATTATTTGCCCATTTATGGTTGTTTTACTGAAGACAACTAGAATAGACTTATTCCTTTAGTATTTGAAATGAATACTATTCACTGTGTTGACAGAACATCAGCAATCCTTAAATGAGTATGAGAAACAAATCAAAGGACATGTGAGGCAGATAAAATGAATGATCTTTTAAAACTTTAACCCATTTCAAAGTTTCTCTTCTGTATTAACAGTAATGAAAATATGCTATAAAAATAATTACTGAGAAATTAAACCAAAAATAAAATTATCTCCAGGCATCGCCGAATGGAGGCTGTGCGACTGCGAAAAGAGAACCAGATCTATAGTGCTGATGAGAAAAGAGCCCTTGCATCCTTTAATCAAGAAGAGAGACGGAAAAGAGAGAACAAGATTCTGGCCAGTTTCCGAGAGATGGTATACCGAAAGACCAAAGGGAAGGATGATAAATAAGGATTTTCTGATTATTCAGCAGACATTTTTAGTGACAAAAACAGAAGTCTGGGTTCCACACATGCACACAAAAAGATGATTATGCCCTGAACAAGCTTTACAGTGCTACTGTGCCTTCCATTTAATTCTTTCTGTCCTTCAATAAAAAGCTGCTTATTGATACAACTTCAGCAAGTACTTTTGGACCATAATTCCTCTCTGATTTAAAAATCCAAATTAGGAATGAGATCCTACTATATTGGGAGAGGTGGCATGAAGAGACAGTGTGTGATGAGAAAAACTTAAATCTCATGCCATTGCACAGTGCTACCTCTAGCTCTACATGATGCCTGCCCTCCCCACCCACCCCCAACTGAACTTATGAGAAATTATCATTCCTCTGTGTTGAATGTGATATGAATGGACTTGGTAGAAACATAGGAGGACACTTTTGTTTTAAAAAAGATGAAGGCATTGCTGAAAAAAAGAAAATCTACTATTTGAAGACTTACACAATATGATATATAATCTACCCTGGAAATAAAGTATTTTGGCTTAAGTCCCTGCCTCCCCTCCAAAACCAAAAGCAAACCAAAAACAAAACTAACCCACAGACTTACTGAATTGAAAAATGTGGACATTAGGTTTTTAAATTTTTTAATAAATTATTTTAAAATTATTCTTTCAAATATATAATATTAGGACATTACTGTTGTGCCAATGTTTTGATCTAAGCTGTACTTTGATGCTAAGATAACAACTAAACAAATGGGACTCAAATATGGTCAAGAGTTGTGATAGGAAACATAATGAACCAGTATTTTAGTTGTTTCATAGGATAAAATGATATTAAACCTTTGTAATGCTGTCCTTTATGTAATGAGATTTTATTTTTAAACATTGTTAAATCTTTCAGTTTATGTTGTAAGCTGTCATTCATTTTAATTGTTAACCTTGTACAGAAGTTCCTCACTTTATCATTTTTTATGCTATTATTTATTTCTAAGTTTGGGGAAAATGAAACATTGTAGGATTGTGAGACCACTATCCTTCCCTTATTTTGGTCAATTTTGATTAAGTCACAAGAGGGAGGGGACAGTGGAAGTTTTGACTGTTTTTGTTAAAGTGATTTTGATCTTCATTATTATTATATGCCTAAGATAAATTTAAATTACCTGGTGGGAAAGTATGACTATGCTGTTATAAAATGTCCTCTCCTTATAATAAAGTGCTTTTTTAAAGTCTTTAAATAAGGCTATCATATTTCAAAGTACAAGGCAAAAGTTTTACCATTTAACATAGTTCTAGGAAAATGTCTACCTTTTGTTATTAAGAGGCAGATAGAGACAGACAGAGAGCTGCCATCTGTCAGTTAACTCCCCAAATGCAAGCAACAGCACAGGCTGGACCTGGGTAAAGCCAGGAACTCAGAACTCAATCTGGGTCTCCCACAAGGGTGACAGGAACCCAGTTTCTTAAGCCATCATCTGCTACCTCCCGGGGTTTACAATGGCAGAAAGCAGGAATCGGGTCAGAGCTGGAACTCAAACCCACGTACTCTGATATGGGGTGCAGGTATCCTAACCAATGTCTTAATCACTAGGCCAAATGCCTGCCCCTATCTACTTTTTTTTTTAGATTTATTTATTTGAAAGGCAGAGTTAGAGACATCTTTCATCCTCTGGTTTATTCCCCAAATGCCTCCAATGCCCTGGGCTGGGTCAGAGCAGAGCTAGGAGCCTGGTAGTCCATCCAGGTCTCCCACGTGGATGGTAGGAGCAAAAACACTTCAGCTACCTTACGCTGTTTTACAGGCACATTAACAGGGATCTGGATCAGAAGTGGAGCTTCCGGGCCTCATACTGGCATTTATCATGCTGGCATCACAGGCAGCAGTTTAATCTGTCTCACAATGCTGGCCCCTGCCTCTGTCTACTTTTTTACAAAAATATTTTTTATTTATTTATTTTGAAAGTTAGACTTGGGGCCGGCGCTGTGGTGTAGTGGGTAAGGCCACTGCCTGCAGTGCCGACATACCATATGAGTGCCAATTCAAGTCCCAGCTGTTCCACTTCCAATCCAACTCTCTGCTATGGCCTGGGAAAGCAGTAGAAGATGGCCCAAGTCCTTGGGCCCCTGCACCCATATGGGAGACCCAGAAGAAGCTCCAGGCTCCTGGCTTCAGATTGGCCCAGCTCCAGCCACTGTGGCCATCTGGGGAGTGAACCAGCGGATGGAAGACCCCCCCCCCCCCCCGCCGCCGCCGCCTTTCAAATAAATTAAATCTTTTAAAAAAACTAAGTTAGACTTACAGAGAGGCAGACACAGGAACTTCTTCCATGTCTCCCACATGGGTGGCAGGGGTCCAAACACTTGGGCCACCTTCTGCTGCTAGGGAGCTAAATTGGAAGCAGAGCAACTGGAACGTGAACCGGCACCCACGTGGGATGCCAGCATCACAGGCAGAGGTTTTACCCACTACACCACAACTCTGGCTTCCCTTGTCTACTTTTAACCCACAACTACTGAATTAAACAGCAACCAGCATGTAACAACATTTGTGACCCCTGAACTTGAAGTTACTTCTATTTATCTACACCTCATCATAGTTGCTGTGTAGCCTAATAAATCTATTGTTCCCAAAAGTTAGAAGAAAATTAGGCCCCAAACTTCTAAATATTTAATTATTTATTTATTTGAAAGCGTGAGAGAGAAAGATCCTCCATCTATTGGTTCACTCCCCAGATGGCCACAAAAGCCAGGAATGGGCCAGATCCTAAGCTAGTAACCAGGGAGTCCATCCTGGTCTCCCACATGGGTGGCAGGGTCTCAAATAGTTGGGCCATCTTCTGCTTTACCAGGCACATTAGCTTGGTTGGAAGTAGAGCTACTGGTACTCAAACTGGCATGTGTTGCAAGCAGCAGCCTAATCCTTTGTACCAAACACCACCACCCCCTAAAAAATTTTTCCCTCAAAAAAACTTCTAAATCTTAATCTATCTACTTCCCTGTATAATAAACCTAAATTTCCTCACTTAAAAATTTTATTCTCGCTGTCTTTCTGCAGACATAGAAGAACAAGGTACACCTCTCTCATCTTTCCCCCTCCCAACCAACCCTGTTCCCAAACAATGCCCTTGTGTGTGTGATGTCTTCACCTTTTAAATAAACTTCTTCACTTTATATGTCATATTCTTGCTGAACTTAGAACGTTTCTCTGGGGAAGAGGGGAGAGCCTGGAATACGGATTTTTAGACCCCATCTAGCCCACAAGGTATCGGCAGAGCCAGCCCAGAGAAAATCCACTCCAGAAACGGCAGTGTGCTTGGTGCCGTGACTGATTCAACTGGAATCTAACTCAGATCAGCTGAGGATCACCCCGCTGGACTGGATTAAATAATTAGTAGCCATCAAACTCCAGGTGGCATTCCAGATGAAGCAAGCCCCCAAGGAAATTTGCATTCTACCAGGGACCCTTAGATCAACCCTCAGAGGAATGCTCTGCTGCCATCCCCCAACACCCACCCTTCAGCATGAAGCAGCCAGAATGGTCATCGTCCCATACTGCTAACCATACTTAGGGCCCATTATTCTGAGGGGGAAATGAAAGAGGTGGGTGTGTCGGACAGGCTAGTGGGCAGTTAGGTCAGTAAACTGAATCTAGCTTTTATCAGAGCTAGACAGGACCTGCCTTCTAATTAGCTGTTATTCTGCTCTTCCCCGATTAGTTAAATCTAGGTTTGATTTTCAGAAAGGGGCCAGATAGAGTCACTTCATGTATAAAAAGGGTATACACTGGCAAGCTTCTTTGGCCCTCCCTTGGAGGCCCCTCCTGACTGCTGTGGCAGGAGGTTTCTTAGCTTCAACAGACCTTGCTTTGTTCACTGTCCAAAAACAATTATTCTCTACAAACATTATTTTGTTACTGGTTCCAAGAGACTGAATAGCCATGTTCTCTTATTTTCAATCGGCAAGGTTGTTTAAAAGCGGTAATTTTGTGACACATGAATATTGTGATTTTTCATTTCTGTCTCCTCCACAGAGTAGAGGTTGAGTAAATGAAAAAAAAGATATTAGTTTACTTCATAACTTTACCATTTCTTTCATCAAGGTTTGTTGGGGGAAAGATCTACCAAAGAACAGCTTCAGAAGCATATTCTTTGGGAAAGACAAGGGGAAAATAAAAGGACTGAAAGCATTTTATTTTTAGCTTATGAGAGTTACTGCTTCAAACTGTGTCTGGTCACCTGAGCCATATGTCAATTAATAGAGTTATTATATTTTAAATATATTTTGTGTTCTCCAAGGAGACTTACCTGCTTCTCGATTCCTCGCCTATTGCTCTGATAGGATTTCCTCTTATTTACTGTATGAATACATAAAATTTTTAAAAAGAAAAATTATGCAGTATTATCACATAGTTTTCATTAGTACCACGTTCCTTTCCAGTGCTTGTGTATGTAAATGCATATTCTAACATATTTGTAAGTAATCACTCAGAGTATAATGTAATTGTGTCTTTAGTGTCTTAAAAGTGTGCAGCCACAGAAAACCAGAAATAAGTAACGGTGGTGATAGAAGCCAAACCAACTCACTGCTATTCATTGCGAGTGTGATTGTGTGCTGTGTGTTGTGAAGGCAGCATGCCTCTTTCCGAGTTTCAAATGTATGGTTTTACAGTGATGCTTAACTCAGCAGTAAATGAAGGAGTCTGTGGATATGAAAACTGTTCAGGCCAGTTATGACCTGTAGAACTATTGTCATTTTGTTCACCCAGTTGTGCCCATAAAGAGGTGAGTCTGAGATGGAGACTTGGACTCAGATCAGGGAATAAACAGCTAACAAAATATCAATCTTAGGGGCCAGCGCTGTGGCACAGAGGGTTAAAATGCCAGCATCCTGTATGGGCATGGGTTCGAGTCCTGGCTGCTCCACTTCTGATCTAGCTCTCTGCTGTGGCCTGGGAAAGCTTTAGAAGATGGTCCAAGTCCTTGGGCCCCTGCACCCACATGGGATTCCTGGAAGAAGCTCCTGGCCACTGGTTTCAGCTCAGCTCTGGCCATTACAGTCATTTGGGGAGTGAACCAGCGGCTGGAAGACTCTCTCTCTCTCTCTCTCTCTCTGGCTCTACCTCTCTCTGTAACTCTTTCAAATAAATAAAATACATCTTTAAATAAATAAATATAAATGTTAGTTTGATCTGACATGGATTTTAGCAACTCTCTAAAGTCACCTCTCTATCTGTAAGAATCTGAAGTGATGAATATAGGGATGGGAAAAATATATTAGAAAATAACCAAGGTGAGTATTTGTTGTAGCAGTTAAGATGCTGCTTGGAATGCTGGCATCCTATATCAGAGTGCCTGGGTTCAAATCCCACCTCTACCTCTGATCCAGTTTCCTCCTGTGTGTGCACCCTGAGAGGCAGCAGGTGATAGCCAAAGTACTTGGGTCCTTCCCACCCACATGGGAGACCCAAATGAATTCTAGGCTCCTGGCTTCAACATGGCCCAGCCCTGGCTGTTACGGGCATTTGGGGAGTGAACTAGCAAATGGGAGATGGGTCTATCTCTGTATCTGTCTCTGTCTCTGTCTCTCTGCCACCGATAAATAACATTTTATGAAATAAAATAGAAAACAGCTTACTTGTTATTCTGCTAATATGATGGAAGTTGCAGAATGGAAAATGAATGAATGTCCAAAAAACAGCTGGATTGTATACCACACGTTTATTCAATAAATATTCTGTGGCTTGATACATGGTATTTTATTTTTAATATAGTCTGATTGTGAGACAATCCTCAAACATTCTGTAAGAATCAGACACAATTGAATTAAAAGTGGATCATCTTCAGTAAAACATGTTTGGCCTCAATAATGTCATCCAGCCATTGTTCTCGAAATTGACTCATTCCTGGTCTAGAGGAAAAAAAAAACAAAAAGCTTTCAAAATCAAGCAAACCCTTGGGCTATGGCTTCCCCATTTTCTGTGTTATACTCCTGGTGAACAAGAAGTCTCTTGGAGTGATAGCAGGGAGGAGTAGAAGTAAGGAGGATTCACTTTTACTGCTATACAAATTAAAAGGATTATATGGGGGCCCAGCGCTGTGGCGCAGTGGGTTAACGCCCTAGCCTGAAGCGCCGGCTCTCCTCTTCCGATCCAGTTCTCTGCTGTGGCTTGGGAAGGCAGTAGGGGATGGCCCAAGTCCTTGGGCCCCTGCACCCGCGTGGGAGACCCGGAGGAAGCTCCTGGCTCCTGGCTTCGGACTGGCGCAGTTCCGGCCATTGCAGCCATTTCGGGAGTGACCCAGTGGATGGAAGGCCTCTCTCTCTCTCTCTCTCTCTCTCTCTCTCTCTCTCTCTCTTTCTGCCTCTCCTCTCTCTGTGTAACTATGACTTTCAAATAAATAAATCTTTAAAAAAAGGATTATATGTGAGTTAATTCCATATGATTTTGAAGTTCTCTATAGAGACAAGAGGCATGACCCAGTTTGTCTCCACCATACTGATCCTTAAGTTCGTGATCACTGAAAAACCAGAAGCTAAGAAAAACAAATTTCCAGAACAATGGCACAATCCTACTTTCTGCCCATTTTAATGGGGTAGGTGGTCCAAAAAAGAAAACACTGTTACTCTAATTATCTGTGGTTGTGACCCTACTGGATTCATGGAGTGCGATGACCTTACCCTTAGCCCTAAAAAATGTCTCCAAATATTCATTACCTGTGTATTAATGAACTGCCCTCAAAGAAATACAAGACATCAACAGGCATATCCTAAGAGAGAGAACAGCTGTCAGCAACCATACCAACCCTTAATTCCTCCCATCCCTACCTTTGTCCGTATGTATACTCCTGAATTTCCAGTTTATCTTCCTTATGAATTGGGAATCTGTGGGTGATAGTTCTTCATCATTCAAACCTCTGTTCCTCAAAAGATCCTTTTGGCAGCCAATAAGAATCTCCATAAAACTTAAAACAAGTCACAACAGGCCTGTACTCATTAATATTATGAATAAAGCATTTACCTGCTTTACATGTTCCAGTTTACTCAACTGACGATCTGTATCTCTTAGAAGAGGCATATGGATGAAACAGATAAACAGATAAACAAGCTTTGAAAGTAGTTTAAAGCAGGGTCAGCATTGTGGTGTAGTGGGTAAAGCCACTGCCTGTGACACTGGCATCCAATATGGGTGCTAGTTCGTGTCCCCGCTGCTCCACTTCCCACCCAGCTCCCTGCTAAAAGCCTGGAAAAGCAGCAGAAGATGGCCCAAGTGTTTGGGCCTCTGCCATGCACTTGGGAGACCCAAATGAAGCTCCTGGCTCCTGGTTTCAGCCTGGCCCAGCCTGGCCATTATGGCTATCTGGGGAGTAAACCAGTGGATGGAAGATTTTTCTCTCTGTGTCTCTCCCTCTCTGTAACTCTATCAAATAAATAAATCTTTAAAACATATTTTAAAGCATTATAAAGTGTAAGCTGTAATATTGTCTCAGTGGTCCCCAATCATTCTTTCTTCCAAAATTATGAGCAAGAGCCATTCTCCTAAGTTCTCTATACATCTCTGATATAGTCTTGTTCACCTCCACCAGACTTACTTCCCAGTCTCTGACCTTGCCTGTTAGTTAGACAGCTGACAGAGGGATATATAACCAGAAGTGAGACTATACCTGGCTTATTTAAAGGAGTAGCAAGATTAGTGTCTGGGGGCTGATATTCTGGCACAGTGGGTTAAGCCACTCCCTGAAATGCTGGCATCCCACATGGAGCACTGGTTCAAGTCCCAGCTACTGATCCAGCTCCCTGGCAATGCAACTGGGAAAGCAGCAGAAAGTGCTTGGGCCCAGCCCGCCACACTGGAGACCTGGACGAGGTTCTGGAGTTCTTGGTTCCTGGCTTTGGCTTGACCCAGCCCCAGCTGTTTCAGCCATTTGCAGAGTGATCCCGCAGATGGAAGACTTCTCAATCCCTCTTCCTTCACCCCCAACTCCATAACTGCCTTTCAAGTACATAAGTAAATATTTTTAAAATTTTTTTTTTAAAAGATCAGAGTGTCTGGAGCAGAGTAAGTGAGGGGAAGGATGGCGGGAAAGCAGAAATAGCAAGGGTCATGAGATGATATAAGGTCTTCCTTGTGGTCTGGACTGCAGTGTCAGCATTGCCCGGGAGCTTGTTAGCAGCACAGAATCTCAGGCCCCTGCCAGACTTGCTGAATCAAAATCTTCATTTTAAGAAGATCTCTAAGTAATTTATGTGCACTTTAACGTTTGAGAAGCACTTTTAGAAAGTTTTAAACCAAGGAGTGACAGACATTCATTTTACAAGTCTCACTCTGGCTGGCTGCTATACTGAAAAAAAAAAAAAAAAGTCATGCTGATGGCAAAGGGAGAAGCAGAGAAACCATTTAGGAAGCTATGGAAATAATCTTGGTGAAGAGAGGATGGTGTCTTGGACTAGGGTGGTCGAAGGGGAATGGTAAGAAATTGTTGGATTCTGGTTGTATTTTAGAGCCAACAGGATTTCCTAATGGATTGGATGAAGAATGTGAGCGGAGAACGGAGACAAGAATGACACCAAGAATTTGGCCTTCTGCTAAGATGAGGAAACTGGAAGTAGGTCAAGTTTAGAAAGAACAAATCACAGGCTAATATTTAGATACTAAAAGTGAGATGTTTATTAAGCATGCAAGTGGGAGTGATGTAAATCTGGGGTAAACAGGAAGAGAAGAGGTTCAAAGTCTGAATTTTGGAACATCCCAATGCAGAGAGGCCGGTAGGAGGCAGAAAAATAGTAGAGACTGTATGCAAAGGCATGGTGAGTGATGCAAGAGGAAAACCAAGATAAGATACCGTGTAGTTCTAGAAGCTGAATGTTAAGTTTCCTAGAGGGAGTGATCAGCAATGGCCAGTGCTACAGAAAAACAAAGTAAGATAGGGACAGAAATATAACTACTAAATTTTACAAAGAGGGGGTCATAAATGACCTTGACAACACATCTCCATTCTCATTGAATCTTCACTAAACTGAACAGAACAAAAGAGGACGAGCTTACCGGAGGTTTGCTTTTGTTGAACTTGATGGTGAAGTAGGCCAAAGCACTGACTTTTGCTACGGGTCTCAGAGCAGTTGGGACACTCCAGTATACATGGTAGATGTAGTGGAAGGAGTGGATTAAATCTTTCTTCTCTACAAACTTTGTGTAGTGCACCCAGTAGTTGTTAAACTCCCAAGTCTGTTTTCATAGGAAAAGAAAAAAGAAAAAGCACACAGAGAAAAGAAAAGCAGGCTTATGTTCACATCCTCTAGATAAAAGCAGCATGTAACAGTCAGAGTTACAGCCCTATCTGGAGTCCACTCCTCACATTTTTTTTTTAATCAGAATCTACAGTCAGTTCCCAGTTATCTCCATGGGTGGAGGAGAGAAAAGTGGAGCTGAAATGAAACAAAGGCAGAATTCAAACATCAACTGAGATTGGGCCTTAGTTGCAGGGGCACACCCTCAGATGTGTATATCCACATACACACCACGCACAGACACACCTTGCTCCAGACCCTTACTTGGGAGGCAAATTGGTTAATTAGAAAATAATTAGAATGGGTTTAGAACATCAGTTCTGCTCACCCCACCTCAGGAGACCTAAATACATGACTACAAAGTAATGAGGCTGGTTTCAGCCATTTGTAAAAATCCGAGTCACTTAATTGCAACCATCAGTGATATATAAAATAAGGCCAGAAGAAGAATGAGTCAGGCAATATGATAAAGCACATCCCTCAAAAAGGAATGATTCCTTGTTTGCACGCTTGAAAAATAGATCCCCTTCTTGGAGGCCACATTGTGATATGGAAGGTTAAGCTGCTGCCTGCAATGCTGGCATCCACTGTGGGCACCAGTTCAAGTCCTGGCTGCTGTACTTCCAATTCAGCTCTCTGCTAATGCACCTGGGAAAGCAGTGAAGGATGGCTCAAGTCCTTGGGTCCCTGTACCCATGCGGGAGACCAGGATGGAGTTCCAGGCTCCAGTCTTGAGTCTGGCCCAGCCCTGGTCATTGCAGCCATGTGGAGAGTGACCCAGCAGATGGAAGATCTCTGTCTCTCCCTTTCTCTGTATAACACTGCCTTTCAAATAAATACATCTTTTAAAAAAAAATCATCCAGGGCCAGCGCTGTGTCGAAGTGGGTTAACGCCCTGGCCTGAAGCGCCGGCATCCCATATTGGCGCCGGTTCGAGACCCGGCTGCTCCACTTCCGATCCAGCTCTCCGCTGTGGCCTGGGAAAACAGTAGAAAATGGCTCAAGTCCTTGGTCCCCTGCACCCGAGTGGAAAACCCAGAAGAAGCTCCTGGCTCCTGGCTTTGGATCAGCACAGTTGCAGCCGTTGCAGCCAATTGGGGAGTGAACCATCAGATGGAAGACCTCTCCCCCCCCCCCCCGGCTCTCCTCCCTCTGTGTAACTCTGATTTTCAAATAAATAAATAAATCTTTTTAAGAAAAATCCCTCCCCCCACCTTCTCAAATACAATCTTACTAATGAGGAGAATTGAGAAACAGAAAACCTTCCTTGGAATATTCCTTTCGTCTGGGCCTACCCTTGGAGTTGAGATGGAAATTACATAACTCAGGTCAACTGTATTATTCAAAGTGCCAGCATTCAGTCCTTCATACCTTCCTCCCTTAATTAATTCATATGCAGTTTAGTAACTTTCAGTCATGTCTCTTCTATCTCCAAATATGTGTCACATCTACCCATTCTTGTCCAGGCTCAATGCCAGTACTCTAATTCAGCTCTCATTGTTGCTCACTCAGGCTCAAGCAATAGCCTCCCATCAAGTCTCCATTGTCCTCAGCTTTTCCAAACCACTACCCTCACTGATGCCAGAGTTACTTGCCTTAAATACGTCTTCAACCATATCAGGTCAGCTCAAAAACCTACAGTAATTCCCCATTGCCTGCCACGCAAAGTGAAAATGTTTCATTGTGTCATTGAAGACCTCTCACAATCTGGAAGCAGTAATATGACTTTCCACCCTCAAGGCATACTTCCTGACAAAACAGTCTAACTCCCGTCAAACTAGAGCTAGTCTCAACTCCCCATCATTGCACCACGGTTCTGGCCAGGCTGCTGCCATTTCTGGGGAAGCATCTCCCTGCTACCTCTACTTGGTAAAGTCCTTTGTCCTAAAACTACCACACCTCGGTCCCTCCTCGGACCAGATATGCTTTTATACCCTCCCCCCTTTGAACACTCACGGGACTTGTTTTTTGCCTCTCTAATGGCACTTGACAACCTGACACTCCCCTCCCCGGTACTACAGCCATGAAAAACAACCTTCATCATAATCTCCATATTAAAACATTCCTGGGAACCAACGCTGTGCCATAGTTAGTTAAGCCACTGCTTGTGATACCGGCAACCCTTATGGGCACCGGTTCAATCCCAGCTGCTCCACTTCCAAAACAGCTGCTCCACTTCCCTGCCAATGCACCTGGGAAGGCAGCGGATGACAGCCTACGTGCTTGCGCCCCTGCATCCACATGGGAGACCCAGAAGAAGCTCCATGTTCCCAGCTTCGGATGGGCTCAGCTCCGGCCATTGCGGCCATGTGGGGAGTGAACCAGCTGATGGAAGATGTCTCTCTTTGTCTCTCTCTCTCTCTCTCTCTCTCTCTCTCTGTAACTATACCTCTCAGATAAATAAAATCTAAAAAAAATTTAAAATTTGAAAAAACAAAATCAGAAGAGGAAAAAAAAATAAGCTTTTAGGACCAATGATTATGTTTATCTTTATTCCAATTCTGTCTTAAAAGAAAGCTTTTCATATTTTTAAGGAGGAAGGGACACAAAAAGGGAAGATTGCCTGGGGCCCACAGAAGCCATAACGCAGCCCTGATCCTTAGCACAGGGCCTTGAATATAATGGATCGTCAACAAATCCAATTCAACTGAACCCCCTTGGACTGGCTATTGGGGTGCAGAAACCTTCTGAATCAAACAACAGCCTGAATTAAGATGGAGGTTCACAGAGGCAGGAAATGGAATTGTCTAACCCAGTGACATGGGGAAGGAGCATGGGAGGAGATGGCAAAATGATTTCAAGCCCTTCCTTAAAAAAATACATAGGCCTTCTGCATCGGCTTGCTTCAGATTTATCCCTAGTTGATTCTTTCATTCAGTCAGAGAGGAGCACTGGACTCTAGACTCTTTGAGATAAGATATGGTGCTTTCGTCCATGTATCATTAGTCCTTTTAATGAAGGAGGCCAGCAGTTACCCCTTTGTGGCCCACGGGAACGTGCCTTTTTTCTTTCAGCCTTTCCATAAATACGCTTTTCCAGTCCTGACGGCTTAGTCTGTCACGTAATCACAGACTGTAGCATTGGAATGATCCTTAGAGATAACTTAATAAAGCCCCTTAACTTTGCAGATGAGGATATCAAGACCGAGAAATGGGTAGGGAGAGTCTAACATGATGCCTGGGGCTGGTACCAAAGGCTCCTGAGCAGCCAGCCCAGTGCTCTCTCCACCCAGCCAGATGCCTCAGCTCCAAAAAGTTCCTCCTTTCAACGTGGATCACAATGGACTTCTTTTTCCCTTTGTGAACTAAGACAGCCTTAGATACGCCATTAAATTGAACCCTTTAATCAGGGCATTCTCTTCCCACGTTTATCTACAGTAGACTTTTTAAAAATAAGATTTATTTATTTGAAAGGCAGAAATACAGAGAGAATGGGGTTGGGGGAGAGAATCTTCCATCCACTGGTTCACTCCCCAGATGGTTGCAACAGCCAGGGCTGGGCCAGGCTGAAGCCAGGAACCAGGAGCTTCTTCCAGGTCTCCCACATGGGTGCAAGGGCCCAAGGCCTTGGGTCATTTCCACTGCTTTCCCAGGCCATTAGCAGGGAGCTGGATCAGGAGGGAGCAGCTGGGATTGGAACAAAGTGCCAATATGGGATGCCAGCACTGCAGGTGGAGGCTTAAACTTCTATGCTCCAGCACCGATCCCCAACAGTAGACTTCTATGTAGCTACTGTGAGTGTATATTATCCTGTGTTTTGTAATTTTTACATAACATTACTTCATATATTCACTTCCAGGAAACAGTATATCACTGTGCTACTCTACCAAGGATGGCTTAACCAATTGCATATTATGGACTATTGAAATCATCAGGCACCTGGAAGTATACGCACAAAACTTGTCCATGGTAAGTAACCTGTGGGAAACAGATTGGGTATTGGGGGGTGAAGATGGAACTTTCATTTCCTACTTTGTATCTTTTTGCCTCCTGGTTTTTTTAATAATATGTCTTATTATAAAAATAATTTAAACTGTGTGTTAGGCAGTGAAGATTCTCCAATTTTTCTCTTAAAGAGAATACATTTGTATATTCTTGTTGTCAGAGTGTATTCCCAAGAACAACAGACTAATTATTGTACCCACTGGCAATCAGTGTACCCATTCCCACCACAAAAATGCACAAGCCTTCTAACACCAGGGTTAATCATTCTTCTTCACACTGCAATACTTTTAAATCTATTGTATTTGCATTTTTTTTCATTGATAATGAAAGTCTACATTATCATTGTCATCAAAATTATTTTTCCTACTATGGTGAAAGTATATATTAAACCTTCATTTTGCTGCTCAGAGACTTTGGACAAATTGCCCAACCCCTCTGAGCTTCAAGATTTCTCACATATAAAATGGTTACACTGATGTACCCACACACAGATTCGTTGTGAGGACTAAATGAGCTAAGTATGGTGAAGTGCTTAGCAATGCATGCCACATAGCAATGCTCAGTAAGTGGGAACCTCTAATTTATGATTACTTGATGTGTGGTGGACTCTGGGAAACTGTCAATAACTTTGAGAAAGCTCTCTGTCAGAAATGCTTGACATACAGAGAGTAGACCCTACTTCTAGGGCTCTCTGCATTAATGGGGCTGAAAACAGGGTCAATTTATGGCCTGCATTGTCTAGGGCGTTTAGCTATCTACTTTCTAATTGTCTCCATCCTCACAAGTGCCCTGCCAAGTAGATAAAACAAATGCTTTCACCTGGATCTTCATCTGTGATGAAATAATGGTAATGAGATAAATCCATTCATGTATTCACAGATTTATTGAGTACCTACTGTGAACCTGACATTGCTAAGTGGTTAGGACAAAAAAGTGATCAAAAGACTGCCATGGTGCCAGTGTTGTGGCACAGTGGGTTAAGCCACCACCTGCAACGTGGGCATTCCATAAGAGTTCCAGTTCAAGTCCCAGTTGTTTCACTTCTGATCCAGCATCCCAGATGTGCCTGGGAAAGTAGCAGAAAAGGGCCCACGCACTTGGACCCCTGCCAGCCATGTAGGGGACCAGGATGTAGTTCCTGGCTCCTGGCTTCAGCCTGGCCCATTCCTAGCCTTTGCAGCCATTTGGGAAATGAACCAGTAGATGGCAGTTCTCCTTCTCTCTCTTTCTCTCTCTCTATACATAACTCTGCCTTTCAAATAAATAAATACATCTTTTTTAAAAAAAATTCTCTGGCCTCATGGGCCAAATTATATGGTAGTGGATGAAAAGCAATAGTATAAATAAGTGGACTCTAGTATTGGGCAGCAATACTCTAGTATTAGGTAGAGATGAGTGCTAATGGAACAATAAACCCGAGAAAGGAGGGTTGCGATTTTAGATGAGGTGGTCAGGAAGGCCTCGGTGAGCAGGTGATTGAGCCTTGATCTTAACAAAGATCAATGAGCCAGGGGAGAGGGTTGCAGGCAGATGGAACAGCGACTGCAAACGTCCTGAGGTAGCAACATGCCTGATAGTTTAGGAACAGCAAGGAGGCAAGTGTGGGTGGCTGAGTGAGGAAGGTGAAAGGGAACAAGACAGTAAGTGATGGGGTCTGAACCGTAAGCTGGGAGACAGGGAGGGAACTCTCACCACATGGTGACTCCTAGGTCATTGTCAAGACTTGACTTCTGCCTTGTACCCATAATGACCTGTGGGATTTGCAAGGGCAATTTTCCTGCTTTCTTTGTGTCCCATTGCTGCCTGATTCAGGAGCCCTGAATACAGCAGGCAGGTTCCCTTGCACAACGTGTTCCAGAGCAGGAAGGCCCAAGAGTAACTTGCACATTTTCGCTTTGCTCTGGAAACTCTCCTCATGGAATTGCTGAGTGGTGGCTGCTGAAGCATGGATAGAGGGAGTATAGCCCTCTATAGAAACCCCTGACTGTGCCTCCTTCCTACCCGACCCGGCCTTCCTAGGAAACTGCCCTGAGGGCTGTAGGTTGTGATGGACAGGCCAGAGGAACACAGCGCTCTGGAACTTTTCCCAGAGGTGTGGGAGTTTGCCTCCACTCATTTCAACTGGTTTGTTCCATGGAAGTGTGGAGGATAGCCCCAGCGCATTGGTGGAGTCGCTTAGGGTAAAGGGGATATAGGCTCCCTAGCTCCACCCAAAGATGCAAATCACCTACCTGGGAAAACTTCTTGAACCACAGAAAACTCACTCTAACTGAGGAAATACTGCAGTTACAAGTATGCTTCTTGGATTGCAATCCATATTGCATTGAACAGCCTCTGGCTGTCCTGCCTGCTCCTCCCTTGCAAGCATCTGGCAACAGTCACGTTAGCTAAGAAGGGACTGCAGTGACCACATGCCTCTCATTACAAGGTGTATTGTGCCAGTTCTCAGTTGCTACCTCACCTGCTTGTCTGCTCCTTCCACGTAGTATGTTCAGTGACTCTAACTTCGTTCTCTATGTACCTCGGCCACTTCCCAAGACAGGAAGTACAGTAAAAAGGAATTGCAAGCCATTCTTCTTTATCTACCTGCCAGTTAATAAGCTTCTCCCCAAAGCCTTGGGAATAATCTACACACAGGAGTCAGACCCAGACATTGGTAGGAAAAAAAAGGGGGGGGGGACCATCCATATGCATTTCCATCCAGGTAATATGTTCCCAAGTGAAATCAAAGACTCGATCCATCTATATCCCCTCTGTTAATATGAGCATTCTAAAGTTGATGGTGGAGAACACCCATTTTGGAAGTGCATCTCCCTCCTTAGGCACCAGACCTCCACTTAATGCACCAGTACAGACAAATTGCTTAACTGAAAAATACTGGCTTAGGATGCTGTAAGCACAGGGAAATACAATTGTGCTTTTCATCTTCAAAGACTAACCGACCTTGACTGGGGAGATGATGTTTATTTATTCTAATCACTTTTCATATCTCCTAGATTTTCTGGGCTTCAAACTTTTGATCAAACAACAGCCTTTTTGTTGTCCCTCACCCTCGTGTACCACACTGGAGTGGTCAACCAACTTACCGCAACGAACTGGTCAATTTGTTTGTGGCCTTCTTCCACTGTGAATTCACCATGAGTGATCCACTTGATGTTTCTGATGGGGTTTGCAGCCTCTGCAAACAAGGCATGAACTCATTAGCTGTCTGGCAGTAGCAGTATCTCACAAGACCATTCTTTGGTCACCCAGACAGGAGTACTACCTTCCACAGACCGAGCAGCAGCTTTGATGACATTGTCAACTACACGTAGAGCCACTTCAGTCAAATTCTGCTTGGCTTCATTCATTTTATTCTGCCTTTCAGAATCCATATTCACAGCCACTGTCCTTTGACTTTTGTCCCTTTTAATCATATCCATTTTCTCTTGCCTGAAAAAAGAAACTCAAGCAATTACTCTTTGTGCATGTGCAAGTGAATGCACTCACATAAGTACAGACTGTCTCATGAAGAACCGCAAGATACAGGAAACAGTTGCTTCTAGACAGGGGTTTGGGGGCTGGGGGGTGGGTAGGAGTGAGACTTAGTGTATACCCTTTGTACCTGGCTAATGAGGTTTACTTTTCCTGAAAACCAAGGATTTTCAGTTTCAAAACCATAAAGTCTTAAATCAAATAATCAAATGCAGTAGAATGATTCTTAACTTTTTAGGAGTTCTAAAAATATTGATTTTTTTTTTTTGACAGGCAGAGTGGATAGTGAGAGAGAGACAGAGAGAAAGGTCTTCCTTTGCCCTTGGTTCACCCTCCAATGGCCACCACGGCTGGCGTGCTGCGGCCTGCGCACCGCGCTGATCCGAAGGCAGGAGCCAGGTGCTTCTCCTGGTCTCCCATGGGGTGCAGGGCCCAAGCACCTGGGCCATCCTCCACTGCCTTCCCGGGCCACAGCAGAGAGCTGGACTGGAAGAGGGGCAACCGGGACAGAATCCGGCGCCCCGACTGGGACTAGAACCTGGTGTGCCGGCACCGCTAGGTGGAGGATTAGCCTATTGAGCCGCGGCGCCAGCCAAAAATATTGATTTCTTTTTTTTTTTTTTTTTTTTTTTTGACAGGCAGAGAGTGGACAGTGAGAGAGAGAGACAGAGAGAGAAAGGTCTTCCTTTGCCGCTGGTTCACCCTCCAATGGCCGCCGCTGCAGCCGGCGCACCGCGCTGATCCTGGCAGGAGCCAGGAGCCAGGTGCTTTTCCTGGTCTCCCATGGGGTGCAGGGCCCAAGCACCTGGGCCATCCTCCACTGCACTCCCTGGCCATAGCAGAGAGCTGGCCTGGAAGAGGGGCAACCGGGACAGAATCCGGCGCCCCAACCGGGACTAGAACCCGGTGTGCCGGCGCCGCAAGGTGGAGGATTAGCCTATTGAGCCACGGCGCCGGCTCCAAAAATATTGATTTCTAATTGAGCCTTTTTTTAGAGATTTATTTATTCATTTGAAAGAGTTACACAGAGGGAGCAGAGAGAGAGAGAGAGAAAGAGAGAGAGAGAGAGTCTTCCATCAGATGCTTCACTCCCCAATTGGCTGCAACGGCTGGAGCTGCACCAATATGAAGCCAGGAGCCAGGAGCTTCTTCCAGGTCTCCCATGCTGGTGCAGGGGCCAAAGGACTTAGGCCATCTTCTACTGCTTTCTCAGGCCATAGCAGAGAGCTGGATCAGAAGTGAAGCAGCCAGGTCTCGAACCAACGCCCATATGGGATGCCGGCGCTTCAGGCCAGGGCATTAACACAATGCGCCACAACGTCAGCCCCCTAATTGAGTCTTTAATGGAACCCAAGTACCTAAGAAACTAAGGTTGGGTGGCTCTTTTAAAAAAATTTATTTATTTATTTGAGAGGTAAAGTTACAGACAGAGAGAGGGGAAGAGAGAGAGAAATGTCTTCCATCCACTGGTTCACTCCCAAAATGACCACAACAGCCACAGCTGGGCCAATCTGAAGCCAGGAGCTTCTTCCAGGTCTCCAACACGGGTGCAGAGGGCCAAGCACTTGGGCCATCTTCTACAGCTTTCCCAGGCCATTAGCAGGAAGCTGAATTAGAAGTGGAGCAGCTGGGACACAAATCCCATATGGAACGCCAGTGCCATAGGTGGAGGCAGATGGCCTATTACAACACAATGCTGGCCCTGTTTTTTTTTTTTTTTTTAAGATTTATTTATTTATTTGAAAGACAGATATAGAGAGCAAAGGAGACAAACAGAGAGAGAAAAAGAGAGATCTTCCATCCACTGGTTCACTCCCCAAATGGCCACAACAGCCAGGATGGGCCAGGCCAAAACCAGGAGCCAGGAGCTTCTTCCAGGTCTCCCACATAGGTGCAGGGACCCAAGCATTTGGGCCATCCTTTGCGGCCTTCCCTGGCACAATTAGTAGGGAGCTGGATCACAAGTGGAACAGCTGAGACTTGAACCAGCTCCCATATGGGATGCCTGCACTGCAGGTGGAGACTTAAAAACTACAACACCACAGCACCAGCCCCAGTTGTATGGCTCATAAAAGATAGTGAATTGGGGTGGGGGGGGGGCTGTGGCATAGCGGGTGAAGCTGCCACCTGCAGTGCCAGCATCCCATATGGACGAGTTCGAGTCCTGGCTGCTCCACTTCCGATCCAGCTCTCTGCTATGGCCTGGGAAATCACTGGAAGATGGCCTAAGTCCTTGGGCCCCTGCACCTGCGTGGGAGACCTGGAAGAAGCTCATGGCTCCTGGCTTTAGATCAGTGCAGCTCTGGCTGTTGTGGCCAACTGGGGAGTGAAACAGCAGATGGCAAACACTCTCTCTCTCTCTCTCTCTCTCTCTCTCTCTCTCTCTCTTCCTGCCTCTGCCTCTGCCTCTGCCTCTCTTCTGTAACTCTTCCTTTCAAATAAATAAATAAATCTTTTTAAAAATGCTGAATTGGGCCAGCATCATGGCATAGCTGGTAAAGCCACCGCCTATGACACTGGCATCCTATATGGGCACTGGTTAGTATCCCAGCTACTCCACTTCCATTCCAGCTCTCTGCTAGAGGCAATACAGCAGGGAAGAGGTGATTTCTTAGTTTTTTTCTCTTTTCTTTTCCAGGTATACAAATATATATACATATATATATATATAAGAAACTATCATTTTTGTCCTCTCTTTTTCTTTTCTTTTTTTTTTTTGGAAATTCTTTTAGATTTATTTTATTGGGGCTGGCATTAGTGTCATAGCTGGTTAAGCTGCCACACTGGCATCTCACATGGGCACTAATTCATGTCCCAGCTACTCCACTTGCATTCTAGCCCTCTGCTAATATGCCTGGGAAAGCAGCAGAGGATGGCTCAAGTACTTGGGCCCCTGCCACACATGTGGGAGACCTGGAGGAAGCTCCTGGCTCTTGGCTTCAGCCTAAGCCATCCCTGGTCATTAGTGGCCATTTGAGGAGTAAACTAGCAGATGGAAGGCCTCTCTCTCCCTCTCTCTCTGTGCCAGTGCCACAGGCAGCTGTTTAACCTACTGTGCCACAATGCTGGCCCCTACCCTCTCTTTTTCTGACATACATTCATACATCCTTGTTTTGTGTCTGATTTTTAGCAGGTATGCGATCTGGTGTTACACCATTAAGTGTGGTTTGAGATTTATCACATTAAGAAAATATTTGCTCTTTTTCTAGTAAGATTGTTATCATAAATGATATCTAAAACATTTCCGATGTCTTTAGTAACATATACTGAGAATGAAAACTAGGAGTTGGCATTGCGGTACAGTACATTATGTGACTTCTTGCAACACCTGCATCCCATATTGGAGCACCAGTTCAGCTCCCAGCTATTCTACTTCTGATCCAGCTTCCTGCTAACGCACTTGAGAAGGCAGCAGTTAATGATCCAAGTACTTGGATCCCTGCCACCCACATGAGAGGCCCAGATGGAGTTACTGGCTCCTGGCTTTGGCCTAGTCCAGCCCTGGCTGTTGCAGCTATTTGGGGAATGAGCCAGTGGATGGAAGATCTCTCTCTCTCTCTCTCTCTCTCTCTCTCTCTCTCTGCCTTTCAAATAAATAAATAAAGAATCATTTTAAAAATCAGAGCTATCAGGGCTGTGAACTTGATCCTATCACAGAGCTAGGAGTCTTTGCACATTTTCCATCTTTTTGAAGTCTTTTCCCTTGGATCTTCGATTCTCTTTCTTTTCATGCTTCTGCACAAGTCTCTTTACTTGGGAGAAATCACTGACTTCTAGCACAGCCTTACATTCCTTGCAGGCAATCCTTGCTTATCTCTCCAAAGGGAGCTATTTATTTCTCTACAAATAACAGCTCCCAATTGGAGGGTGTTTAAGGTGCCACGTTTCAGTTAAGTCTTACCACAACTCTATGAGATCGCACACTGGGTACCTTCCATCTGTCCTTCTAGATCCACTCTCCCCATCGTCCCCTGCCAGCAGCCCTGGAGAACTGACCTGACTGGACCATGTGAACGGGCTGTCTGGTGCTCACTGACTTCTAGGAGGTTCCACAAAATAAGGAGATGAAGCTAAAGGGAGGAGAGTAAAGCTGAAGTATATGCCCCTACTCCCCTCCACCCACCCCACCCCCATGGTGGTCTCCTACAGGGTTGCCTGTGGCTGGCTGCTTGGAGGAGGCCCCAGATTGTCTCGAAGCTCTCACTGAACTCAGCGTGGTGAGAATAACCATTCTTTCCCCCTCAGTCCTTTAGGCCCCACCGTTACTAGCTCCAGGGAGCTACACTTTCCTTTGTTTCCTTGCACTCTGGCCACATCGTTGTAAATATTCCCTCTCCTCCAAGTATCCTAAATTTAATACACCAACAAGTACCCTGAGTCATAAACAGAAGGACTCTTGTTACTATGTGAAAATGAGGAGACCAGCCTACACACCTAGACTGTCTGACTCCATAGCCCATGCTCTTTTTTTTAAAGATTTATTTATTTTTACTTGAAAGGCACAGTGACAGAGAGATCTTCCACCCACTGGTTCATTCCCCAAATGTCCACAACAATCAGGGATAGGCCAGGCTGAAGCCAGGAGCCAAGGCAGGGGCCCAAGCAGCCAGGACTTGAGTCAGTGCTCTGACGTGGGATGCCTGGTGTGCCAGGCTGCAGCATGACTCTCTGTGCTGTGTATGCCGGCCCCAAACCCCATACTCTCTTTCTTTTCTTTTTTTATATAAACAGAACAGATTTTATATGTATAATTTTAAGCCCAGGATGATACTTCCCAACCACCCTCCCTCTTCCTCCTCCATTCCTTTTTTTTTAAGATTTATTTATTTGAAAGAGTTACAGAGAGAGGTAGAGACAGAAAGAGAGAGAGAAAGTGAGAGAGAGAGAGGTCTCCTATCCACCAGTTCACTCCCTAAATGACCACAATGGCCAGAGCTGTGCCCATCTGAAGCCAGGAGCCAGGAGCTTCTTCCAGGTCTCCCACATGGGTGCAGAGGCCTAAGGACTAGGGCCATCCACAGTGCTTTCCCAGGCCATAGCAGAGAGCTGTATTGGAAGTGGAGCAGCCAGGACTCGAACCAGCTCCCATATGGGATGCCAGTGCTGCAGGCCAGCTCCCATATGGGATGCCAGTGCTGCAGGCCAGGTCTTTAACCCACTACGCCACAGCACCACCCCCTCTTTTTAAAATAATTTTAAATGATTTTATTTATTTATTATTTTAAATATTTATTTATTTATTTGAAAGGCAGAGTTACAGAGAGGCAGAGACAGAGAGAGAAAGAGGTCTTCCATCCGCTAGTTCACTCCCCCAGATGACCGCAATGGCCAGAGCTGGGCCAATCTTAAGTCAGGAGTCAGGAGCTTCTTCCAGGTCTCCCACGTGGGTACAAGGGCCCAAGGACTTGGTCCATCTTCCACTGCTTTCCCAGGCTATAAGCAGAGGGCTGGATTGGAAGAGGAGCAGCCGGGACATGAACCAGCACTCATATGGGATGCCAGCACTGCAGACTGAGGCTTAGCCTGCTACGCCACAGTGCAGGCCCCTTTTAATTTTTCCAATAACATACTTTAAATGTACTTTGTAGTCACAGGCTTATTCCTCCACTAAATACAGAATTCAACAAGTAGAAAGTAGAAAGACCACTGTTCCACAGGAGTATAGACAAAAGCTATACACAATAATCATATCTCAAGATGTCTGGGGGCTGGCGCTGTGGCATAGCAGATTAAAGCCCCAGCTTGCAGTGCTGGCATCCCACATGGGCGCCGTTTTGAGTCCTGGCTGCTCCACTTCCCATCCAGCTCTCTGCTGTGGCCTGGGAAAGCAGTAGAAGATGGCCCAACTCCTTGGGCCCCTGCACCCACGTGGGAGACCTGAAGAAGCTCCTGGCTCCTGGCTTCAGATCAGCTCAGCTCTCGCTGTTGTGGTCATTTGGGGAGTGAACTAGCGGAATGGAAGACCGATCTCTCTCTCTCTCTCTCTCTCTCTCTCTCTCTCTCTAACTCTGTCTTTCAAATACTAAAATAAATCTTAAAAAAAAAAAATCTCCTGCACCCGCATGGGAGACCAGGAGGAAGCACCTGGCTCCTGGCTTCGGATCAGCGCAGCGCCAGCCATAGCGGCCATTTGTGGGGTGAACCAACGGAAGGAAGAGCTTTCTCTTTGTCTCTCTCTCTCACTGTCTAATTCTATCTGTAAAAAAAAAAAATCTCAAGATGTCAATTTCAGGACCCATAGAACACCGGCTCATGTCCCTGCTGCTCCACTTCCAATCCAGCTCCCTGCCAATGTGCCTGGGAAAGCTGTGGAAGATGGCCCAAGCACTTAGGCCCCTGCACCCACTTGGGAGATCCAGATGAAGCTCCTGGCTCCTGGCCTTGGCTTGTCCTAGCCCTGGTCGTTGAGGTCATTTCGGGAATGAACCAGCTGATGGAAGCTTGCTCTCCTCTCTCTCTGTCTCTCCCTCTCTCTCTGTCTCTCTTTCTAACTCTTTCAGTAAATGAATAAATCTTAAAAAAAAAAAGTTAATTTCACTCATATACATTACTTTTTTGTGCCCTATATATTAGATACCTCAGCCCACACTCTTGATTATGCTGCTCTTCTCCCTCCAAGATTCAGAAAGGGCAGTGAGTGCCATTTTCACGTCTACATGTGGAGTCCTAAATGTGTCCACTCTGTCTGTGAGCCTCTTTCATGAATGGCAACGCTTTGTTTCCTTCCTCGGGTCCCAGGGGCTTGCAGATACTGCAGAAAGCAATCTTGTTCTCATGGCCATTATCTGAACATTCCTGCGATAATATTCACTGGGTTCATTTAGGCCTTGATGCTAGCATTTTAAGTTCCCTGTTTCTACAGCCAAGAGGCAGACAGAATCATCTGTGTGCGGCAGGAAAGGGAGTCTTTCCAGGCTGACCATTCCAAAGCAGGAAGAGGCCAAAGGGTTGAGGATGGTGTGGCCTGATGGCCTTTAACACTAAAGGACTCTCCTTAGCCCTTAGGCCATACCAATTTAGCCAAAGCAATTTCCTGTAAACTCCGTAGTTAAAGACAACCACCTGAAAGTTATTTTTTCAGTTGGTCAGTTAAATAGGACTTATAAGTTACCCATACAGCAACTTCATCCTTCAGAGAACTGCCCATTTGGTGACCTGGTCACTCAGTGACCTGGCTTTTAGCAAACTGCCTATTGATGCATTGACTAGAATCCAAGTCTGTGGCCTCTAACAGCAAGCAAATGAAGTGGGGGCTTTATGTACGGAAGAACTCCTTAAGACCTTCCCTGGGGAGCCCTTTACCCCACCAAGAGAGGGGAGGTGAGGAGCAGTGCCCAGGATGAAGCTCACTTTTTATCCTCACACATCATTCTGAAGCCTCCCTCCATCTGGCCTCTCTTGGTTCTTTTTCTTCTCTTCCCTTCCTAATAAGAAGCCAGGTGGCAGAATGGATGGTAAGAGATGGGGGCATGGTCAAGGTTAGAATGTGGGTGATAACAGGGAGAACCACTGCAGGTCCTTTTTGTGAACTCCCCCACCCCCTAACAACCCCTGATACCTGATACCCTGATATCTGGGCGAGCAGGTCCTTTTGGAAGCAGTATCTGGGAAGCCTCAGCAGGAGCCTCTCCACAGCTTCGCCCAGGATTTTCTGTTGGAATATTTACAAGTGCTGCCAGGGCAACACCAGTTTCAACCAATGAGAAGCAAAGCCCATGGAGGGGGGGGGCAGTCACAACCAATGAGAAGCAAAGCCCAAGGTGTGGGGGGGGGGGGGGGGCAGTCACAGCAACTGTTTGACCTCAATACCAGGGCCAGTCTGTGTGTAGCCATACCTAGCTTCTGCCCAGCAGGAGATGAGCATGCGGGGCTGCGCCAGGAGGAACAACTGTGCCCAATTCCCCAGCTGGTACCTACGGAGCCCCTTTGCATGTCCCAGTCACTGTGCTTAGTACATGCTCAGTCATCTACAGGCTACAGTAGCCCAGGAGGGAAACATTAGTGTGTTCATACCACACTTGAACAAACTCAAGTGCAGGCAGTGCTCAGTAATCTGCCCAAAACTCAGAGCCAGGGCTGTTAGACTTCACTGCATCACAATGCCAGCTCCCCCTAGTACGATTATTTTTTTTTTTTTTTTGACAGGCAGAGTGGACAGTGAGAGAGAGAGAGACAGAGAGAAAGGTCTTCCTTTTGCCGTTGGTTCACCCTCCAATGGCCGCCGCGGCCAGCGCGATGCGGCCGGCGCACCGCGCTGATCCGATGGCAGGAGCCAGGAGCCAGGTGCTTTTCCTGGTCTCCCATGGGGTGCAGGGCCCAAGCACCTGGGCCATCCTCCACTGCACTCCCGGGCCACAGCAGAGGGCTGGCCTGGAAGAGGGGCAACCGGGACAGAATCCGGCGCCCCGACCGGGACTAGAACCCGGTGTGCCGGCGCCGCTAGGCGGAGGATTAGCCTAGTGAGCCGCGGCGCCGGCCTACGATTATTAATAGTACTGTTATTATAAATGGTGTTCTTTTTGTAAAAAAAGATTTATTTTATACATGTTCTTTTAAATGGTCTTAACTGGTAAAATGAAAAGTTAATGACCCTATGTTGAAACCCAGCTTTATTTTATTAGTCCATAAAATTCCCAAGTTTCATGGGAATTCCTTAACCATGGAGTAGCCATGTAGTAGGATTCGTGACAGAGATGAGACACCAAGGCCAAGAAGCAGTGTTTTATTTTTATTATTATTATTATTATTATTATTATGTCAGCAAAAGGCCCAGTTGGATTTTTATACAAAAGCCTGAGCCCTGAACAGAGGGGTATTTCCATATGTATGGCTTTAGCTTCTTTGTCTCCCTTCTATGGTTACATGCATACATTTCATCGGATATTCTAATGTCAACATGGTGGCTAGAGGAATTGATACACTACTGTACATGGGCACATATTCATCCATAATGTTTCTTTTGCACACATACTGAGCTGTGTGCTGTCTAGCAAGTGTTAAGATCATCGCTTGGAACTAACAAGCAGGAACCCAAGCAAATAATAACTTCACAGGCAAGCAGGTAATAACTGCATTTCATTCCCAGGACAGGTTCATCTCCCCCAGCTTTTTGTTGTTGTTGTTGTTCTGACTTTGGGAGGCTTCTTCCCATGTTAGTTAGAAACAAGTTTAATCAAAAGACAGGTGCTCACAGTGATGACAGTCGATCTCAATCCCCACAAAGGAAGGAGGGTACTCTGCTAAGTGTCCTCTTCATCCGGGAGCAATGCTGAGCTCACTGCCTGGAAGATGTCACACGCTTGAGATCCCATGCACAGAGATCCTGCAGCTGAGATGGAGCTGCGAGGCAGGCAAATGGGGGTGGGGATGGAGAGGGTGGGAGACAATGTGGCTTAACAGGAAGATCATGCACTCTGAACACAGAAGGAATTCCCATCCCAGTTCTTTTATTTATTTTTATGTTTCTTAGAGACTTATTTATTTGAAAGGCAGAGTAAGAGAGAGGGGGAGAGAGAGAGAGAGAGAGAGAGAAAGAAAGAGATCTATCCACTGATTCATTCCCCGCATGCCCACAACAACCAGGGCTGGGCCAGGCTGAAGCCAGGAGCTAGGAGCTAGGCACTCCATTTGGATCTCCCACAGGGGTGGCAGGGGCCCAAGTACTTGGGCCATCCTCTGCTGCTTTCCCAAGCAGCCAGAACTCAAACCGGTACTCTGATACGGGATGCCAGCATCACAGGCCACAGCTTAAATTGGTATGCCACAACGCTGACCTTCCCCTATCCCAGTTCTGCCACAAACTGGCAGTGTGGCTTTAGTTAGGATGTTTCACCTCTCTGAGTCTCATGTATACAAGGGGGGATCTTCACAGTCACTTCATAAGGCTGATGAGAAGCTAAAATAAGGCTATTCATACAGAGCACCCAGAAAAGGACAGGCATACTGTGAGTGCTCAAAAAACTTCAGTTATCTCACTCACGGTGAGCAAGAGACTAACCACAACAGACAGAATCAAAAAGCACAGGGACCCAGAGAGGGCCTGCCACTTTCCTGAAGCTGGGAGAAAAAATTTCCCAGGGCCAGGTGAGTCCTGAGCTTTCACTGATTAGGGTCATGTCCAGCATCTCAGCCAGGAAGAGGAGAGGATTTGTGGGGTTACTGTCATTGTCGGAACACAAGTTCCACAGCATTCTAAAGGCACAGGTCTCCGTGCTTTCCTTTGTTGTCAAGCTTTGATGGGCAAGTGCAGCAAGACCGCTCCTAGGAAGCCCTGGGGCCACGATGAGAGGCACTCGGTGAGGACCTGGTGTGGGAGGTGGGATTCTTAATTGCCCGGAAAAGAGAGACATGCATGCAAGCAATGAGAAACTCCTTGCAGGCAAAATGCTTTCCTGGAGAAGCCAGGAGAGATTGCCCAGCAGATTAGAAAGGCTCCTTCTTTGAAGCCAGAGTTTAAACTTTACCCCCAGCCAAGATGTAGATAAATTCTGGCCTCCAGGGCTCTCCAAATTGAGAGGCCTTTTGAACTCAGAGGACAGGTTCTTCCAAACACCACCCTCCTCGGATGCTAGTACAGGTAAATGTGAAGTGCCATAGACACCCAAGATGGAGGGCAGAGACCAGAGGAGTGGGTGGGCCAGATGCAACGGCTAGAGGCCCCCTCCTTCCTCAGCCCCTCCTTCCTCAGCTGGTTGGGAAGCCCCAAGCCCAAGCCCCCATCCTACCACCCCTGCCATGTGCCTCTTGCAGCACCAGGGTGCCCAGCGTCCCCAGAGCCACAGGCCTCCTCCCTGAGGCCGGCCTGGATGATGCCAGGGGAAGGCAGCATGCTAGTGTGTGTGGTTCAGAGATGCACCTGTGTTCACTTGGGAGCGCTTTAGCCTGTGCACAGATGTGCCACCCCTGAATTCTACCAGGCCCTGAGAGTCCCTTCTGAGGACAACCATCTTCGCTAATGGCAGGTGAGTGATCCTGCACAACCCTGGGAGACAGAAAGCACATTGTCCTGCCCTGCTCACCTGCAGCTGGGCAGACTGCCAGGGGAGAGAGAGGGCCAGCACCTCACTTGTCCGCATGTGGAAGGTGGGAGCAATCTGTATCAAATATATTGTACTCACTCCAAGGAACTGCGTTGGAGACCTTGGCAACTCCCCATACTCTTAACTTCTTGCTAAATTGAGGGCAATCTGGGGAGAGGTCCCTAGGCAGGATGGTGTCCATCAGAGCACAGGAAGAGGGGTCCTCTCTTCAGGACTCCACCCTCTGGCCTTGAATTATATTCATTTCCATGTGTGTCCCTTCATCACTCTCATTCCTTCCCAGGTTCTTCCATCCCCAACTCTTCTACTCCAGGCTCACCCTAACACTCCCTTCCCCGATTTATCTTCTTTTATTTTATTTATGTTTTATTTTTTTTGACAGGCAGAGTGGACAGTGAGAGGGAGAGACAGAGAGAAAGGTCTTCCTTTGCCGTTGGTTCACCCTCCAATGGCCGCCGCGGCCGGCGCACCGCACTGATCCGATGGCAGGAGCCAGGTACTTCTCCTGGTCTCCCATGGGGTGCAGGGCCCAAGCACTTGGGCCATCCTCCACTGCACTCCCTGGCCACAGCAGAGAGCTGGCCTGGAAGAGGGGCAACCGGGACAGAATCTGGCGCCCCGACCGGGACTAGAACCCGGTGTGCGGGCGCCGCAAGGCGGAGGGTTAGCCTAGTGAGCCACGGTGCTGGCCTGATTTATCTTCTTAAGCTTTGCCCTTCCCCCTGCTCTTTCCTCCTCTCCCACACACGCCTAGCACAGCTAAAGCTCAGGTTGGAAGCTGACATTCTCTTCTTGTCAAGTTGTCCCAGTCAGCTGGTACACATCTTTTAAGTGCCTGGAAACTACACAGGTGGCAGGAATTGTGGAGACAGCAAGCTAAGACAAGGGAAGATAAAGTGTGCCCACATGCACAAATACTTTAGTAAGTCAAAGCAGGGGACGGTGAAATGCTTGAGTCAAAACAGAAGGGAGGCCGGCGCCGCGGCTCACTAGGCTAAACCTCCACCTAGCGGCGCCGGCACACCGGGTTCTAGTCCCGGTCCGGGCGCCGGATTCTGTCCCGGTTGCCCCTCTTCCAGGCCAGCTCTCTGCTGTGGCCAGGGAGTGCAGTGGCGGATGGCCCAAGTGCTTGGGCCCTGCACCCCATGGGAGACCAGGAGAAGTACCTGGCTCCTGCCATCGGATCAGTGCGGTGCGCCGGCCGCGGCGGCCATTGGAGGGTGAACCAACGGCAAAGGAAGACCTTTCTCTCTGTCTCTCCCTCTCACTGTCCACTCTGCCTGCCAAAAAAAAAAAAAAAAAAAAAAAAAAAAAAAAAAAAAAACACAGAAGGGAAGTTGGATGTGGGCAAATGTGGCTGAGTGACATTGTTTCAAGTCTAAAAGACCATCAGAGCACCCTACAAAGGTGGGGAGGTGATATTGTTAGGTAGGAAGTTAGAAAGTAGCCCCTGCGCATGAGAGGGGCCCGAGGAAAACAAAGCATCTGCAGAAGCTCACCTTGGCAGCAGCCCAGGATTTTATACAACAAAGTCCTGCCCAGACCCTGGTAACTTTACAGGTGGTCTCAGCCTTCCCCCCTAGGAAAGCTCCCCAGGAGAATCCCCTCTCCTCAG